TGGGGAAGGTGTGGCAGATTATGGTCAGAACTAAGCTCTGGAGGAAGATAGATCTCTAGGACTAGGGATGTAGACCACTGGATTAGAGAGTGTTCATGCAGCCTGTGCAAGTTGAGCGGCAGTACATCCCAGACATGGTGCAGCAGTGGGGTAACATTTAGAAAATAGCATTCAAGTTTTTGTTTTTTCTACTCGAGTCTGTTTTTTCTACATGCCACATGCACCAGGCAGCAATATACAGTAAAATAAACTATGAAAACCAATACAAAAATGAAACAGAAACCCAAATAAGAATCCCAGAAATACTCATTCCACAGTTTATAGCTGTTATCAAATTAAATATTAGCTAAACATTCCATGCTGCATATAAATTACCCAGTAGGTAAATTAGGCTTGACAGAATTGCACAGTCACAAGTCACAAAGCTGCTGAGGGTAAACAAGTGTATAGTGCTCTTTTATAAAGTATTTAATTGAATAAAGTAGCAGATTTGACTATCCATTCAAACATGATGTTTGATGAAAATGTGTGAATTATGAGCGCATACAAGTGGTCATTGCTGCCACAATGCTAATATCATGTAGAGATAATATATGTGTAACAGGCTTTAATTCTCAACTGAAAAAGTAGAAAACATGACCATTTCTATGTGTTTGTGTGTTTGATGGGATATGAAGAAAAACTGATGCATCTCACATTGCTTAAAAACTGGAATGTTTTTGTGTATCTCAGCAGACATTACAGAACATGTGTGGAACTCAACACACAGTTAAAGCTAAAACACTAAAATGCAGAGTGCTGTGTCCTCCAGATATGCACTATAAGACTCCACACACACCACTTCTCCCTGCTGCTCACCAAATAGAAACATTCAACATCATATTTCACAGCAGGACAGCTCCTCTTACCATGTGGAGAGATTCTGTTGAGTGTCTCTTCACAGAATTCCTCCAGTTGCTTCTTCAGATCAGACAGAGATTTGCTCACTTTATCAAATGAGAGATGTTGACTGATAGTGATGTTGAGAGAGTCTTCAGATCCAGTAGAGGCATAAAGTGATTGGAGACTCTATGAAAATAAAAATAAAGAACATATAGAAAAATATATAACAGATGAAAATAACAGAGTATTCTCAAAAAATATCCACAGGATGTCCTTTATAATTATATTCTAAAATAAATTTGGAGGTTTTAACTAAAAGTTAGTGTTCAGGCAGCCTTAAAATCCTGAGTTATTTGCACTTCAAATAAGACATTTATAGGGCATAAAACAGATTCTTGTTCTGTTAACTTACTATTCAAAGATCACTTAACTCAAAATTTTAATGCAGCCTAAACAACTTTTTACTTTTTAAACTAAAACCCAATTTGTTTTTACAGTGTATGGTGTTTACAGTATCTTCATTGTTGCCTTTATTTCATTACTGAGCTGAAACTATGCCGAGAAATAAGAATGTGGGCCATAAATACAAATATAATGAATGTATGAAGAAAATTATATCTATATATATATATGGTTACCTGGAGGAAATGGATGTGATCCTCTGTGTGTGAAAGCTGCTCCAGCTCAGTGTCTCTCCTCTTTAGATCAGCAATCTCCTGCTCCAGCTGTTCAATGAGCTCTTCAGCTCCACTCAGTTCAGTCTTCTCCTGAGCTCTGATCAGCTCTGTTACCTCAGAGCGCTTCTTCTCAATGGAGCAGATCAGCTCAGTAAAGATCCTCTCACTGTCCTCCACTGCTGTCTGTGCAGAGCTCTGTTAGACACACACAGACCAGATGGAGCTCCATTTGAAGATCAACTATCATTAACTTTTACCGTAATTAATGGATGACTTATTGTCCACTTTATGGCTGTGTAGGATCTCAAAGTGTCTTAATAGTGGTCTCATTACTTTAGGAGGGTCTGACTGAGGTGTGAAGTAGCTGCTCCAACAGATCTCTGCTCTCTACTCACCTTAATAGTGTTCACAGCCTGTTTCAGCTCCTGCAGCTTCTTCTCTTTCTCCTGGATTCTCTGCTGAGATTCCCCCCGAATTCCCTTTAACTGACTCTGTGTTCACATAAGACACATTATACCACTAAACTGAAGAGTTGGAAGCTGGGTTATTGAAAAGATCAGCTCAGTAAACTCTTCTGAATATTAGTATCTAGTTTACCCTCTAGCATACCCTCAACACAGCTGACACTCTGCACTTTAACTGGGTAGAACCTGTTTCATTTCAAACTCATTGTGCTGAATTACACAACCAACACAACACAAACTGCTCCATTAGTTTATTACAGACTGCTCTCTGAGTAGTTATGCTGATTTATAACAGCTGTGCTCTTCTATATTCAAAACACTGCAGTCAATGGTTAAAATCTTATTTAATATCGTAGTTAATATTTTTGACAAATTTGTAGTCAAGAATTTATAAAAGAACTGACCTGTTTCTCAGTTCTTTCTGCTGCAGCTGAGACTGTCCTGTGGCCATTGTGTTGATCCAACATGCACAAATAACAGATGCATGTTTGGTCAGTACGACAGTAGATCTCGATCAGTTTGTCGTGCTGAGAGCAGATCTTCTCTCGTAGTTGTGTGGAAGCTTTGACCAGCTTGTGATTTACTAAAGCAGGAAGTTGAATATGAGGTTTAAGATGAGCTTCACAAAGAGAAACTAAACAAACCAAACAGGACTTGATGGCTTTGAGTTTCCTCCCAGTGCAGAAATCACACTCCACATCTCCAGGTCCAGCGTAACAGTGAGCAGGAGAAGCAGCTCGGAGTTCTGTCTTCTTCAGTTTCTCCACCACTTCAGCCAGCATGTTGTTTCTGTGTAGAACAGGCCTCGGAGTGAACGTCTCTCTGCACTGGGGGCAGCTGTAGACCCCCCTCTGATCATCCTGATCCCAGCAGCCATTAATACACACCTTACAGTAACTGTGTCCACAGGGAATAGCCACTGGATCCTTCAGCAGATCCAGACAGACTGGACAGCTGAACTGGTCCTGATCTACTGAAATACTGGCCATTTTCCTGCAGTCACAGACTGAGAGAGAGCAGCTCTCTGAGATCAGTTTCGTTTCCTTTGAACTGAGTAGGAGTGGCTTCATGATTCTGCAGTTCAGAGAGCAGAGAGAGAGGGCGGAGCCAAACAGGCTGTTACACTGAAGGAGAAGAGTGAAACTGTATAAAAGTGAGAAAGAGAGTTTTATTGGTACAGAAACAAACTGGGTTATTATTTGTGGCTGTTTACAGCATTTCTTGATTTTCCTCTTTGCAGAAAAACACTTTGTAACCTTATCTTCCTGTAAGGGCCCAGGCTGGGGTTGGGCTGTCTGCTTGGCCACTTCAGCCACCAGAGGGATGCACAGAGACACTGCACCATGATTAGGGGCCATCAGTGGCACCTGTTCCTCCTCTATTTAAGAGAAGCCAACTCCCACCTCTGTGCTCAGTCTTGGTCAGTTCTCTTTTCAGAGAGTGATACAAGTCTAAGCTGGCAATTTGGCGAAACACTTCACATTTTCTCCTGGGTCTCCCTCCTTTTACTTTTGTTGACTGTGCCAGGCCTCACCCTTTAAGTCTTCCTCTCATGATTTCTCTGGCTGCTCTTCCTTGGCCTTTTCTTAAATCTCTTTCTTGGGTTTCTAAAAAATACTACTCAGAAAAAGTGCTGAGCTCCTCCTTTTCTCCCACTCAGCCACTTAGTGTCCTCCATTTCCAGGGTTTATCCCTTGACATTTTTGTTTCTTTCTTTCCCGTCTTTCCTTTGTTTGGGAAACTTTTTTGACCTTTGTTTTCCTTTTGCTGTCAGCTCTTGTATTTAAAGGGTTCACCATTTTCCCCCAGTTGTCATATCTGCACTGACAACACCACCACATGATTGTGTTTGCATTTTTTTTATTTGTGTCGACTGTCGTTCATGAACAGCTCTGCAGTTTATATTGGTCTCCTTTAATAAGGGTTCCAGGTTTGAATCCACTGCTTTTTGAGCTTTCATGCACAAATGACAAGTGAAGCCTGACAGGCCTCCCATTCTACCCACATACAGTAAATGCAGACACAGTGGCAGTTTTGGAAGTTTAATAAAGAAAGGAATGAATCGATGTACTAAATACAACAATGCTGTTAGTGTCACAGCATACAATATACTTATAACATTATTTGGCTGTTCATGAAGCTTTCTGTTATATTCAGAGTCACAGAGACTCAACAATGTGGATATAAAGCAGTTCTGCAGTGATTTCCAGATTCAGTCCTACAGGAACCCAGTTTAGTGTGTCCTGCATCTGATTCACATCATTAGCTAATGATCAAGTCCTTCTAGAGCTGAATCAGGTGTGATGGAGCAGGAATAAACTAAACTGTGCAGTGCAGGTGGACTACAGGACCTTAGTGGGAACACTGATCTAGAAGATGAGTTTGAGCTCCAGCTGTAAGACTGCAGTGGATTCAGAAGTCTGGAATTCTTCTTCCTTTATTCTCACTCATTTGTTTTTCATCTGTTCTTCACTGCAGTATGGAATATGGGTTACAGCTGTGGTTCTCACTGCACTAAACTGCACAGTAGGGAGTTCCTTTAGGACTGGACATGGAAAAAACTACAGATACCAACGTTTACAACTGAATATGTATCAAATATGCATAAAATAGTTTCAAAAAGTTTTGAAGTTTTTAAAGATGAGAGGATTTTGGTAGGTTGAAGATGCCATGTGTTCTCTGTGGTTACTATGAATGCTTAAACTGGATAAAGGAGATTTAATGAAGTCTAAACAAGCTGTCACTGTATTCTGATGCATGAATGGCACTGAGAGTGAGAAAAGCTGAAAAACATTTTGGAAGAAATGTTCCTAGAATTACAGTTTTGTCTAAATCTTTTTAACCAGAAATTGTTAAAAAGTTTGGATTTTTTTTATACCATACATTCAGTTTACATAATTATGAAATCTAATTACAAAATTACACAGTTAAGTACATAGTAGCATAATAATGAGTAATTTACATTTGCAGTGTTAGTTTCAAATTCAATTTTTTTCTATTTTTTTAAGTATGTTAACAAAAAAAGGCAGCAGTTGCCTTTGCACAACAAACCTGTACACAGAACAACAACCTTATATTAAATTGAAATCATAATAGAATAAATCCTTTTATGCTTTTGTACACAGATAAGATACAGACCTCCCTTTGTTGCAAAGAGGTACGGGTGAGAAATATTTCAATTAAAAAGAAGAAGCATTTCAAGGCAAGTATATCACAGAATACCTAAAAGAATTAATATCATAATTACCATCGTTAAATATATCACACATTCATTTCAGATCGGTTAGTTTCACAGTTGATCTGGTAGAAAGCCAGAATCCAGCATAGAGAGGCTGAGTGAAGGTGGTGTGGACTGTGTGTAGGAGGGTTATTGTGTCAGAGACGCTGTAGAAGGACAGAGTTCCTGCACTGTGATCCACATATACTCCTATTCTGGAGGAGGACGGGGCTGAGATCTTAGTCTCAATGTTGTTGTGATAGAAAGAGAGAGAGGAAGAACAGCGCAGACTCCAGGACTGACTGTTGCGTCCAAACACACATTTATCACCTGATCCTTTCCTGCTGATCCCTTTATATGAGACTGATACGTACACATTTCCCAGACTGCTCCAGTCAACCTCCCAGTAACAGCGTCCACTCACACTCTCCTCACACAGAACCTGATAAAAGAAGTCAAATCTCTCTGGATGGTCAGAGTACAGCTGGACACTCTCACTGCATCTGACCACTCTGTTCCTCTCAGACAGAATCAGGTGACGATTTACTGTTTTGGCGTCCAGAGACAGCTGACAGAAATCTACAGAAAAATAAGAGGAAGATATTATTGATGGAATATCTTTTACACAAAAAAGGGAAGTTATTTATAATTTTAGAGATTATTGTTGTGTATGTGTGTGTGTGTGTGTTTGTTATCACCAAATATGCACAAGAAATTATGCAGGATATATAAGAAAAGTTAATGACAAACACAAGCAAGAGTTTGCTGTGATTTGACTGAAACAGTAGATATTAATAGTGAGTAATTGTAGTTGATGATCTGAATTTGGGGAACAGGTGTCAGTATTGAGGAAAAGTGGAGTGCTGAGAACACACTAATGAGAACTTCCATAACTGTGTGTATTACATACACTGTAGAAAGTCTTCTCTGGTTTGTGGTTCTGACAGTAAGATCTGAACTGCTGCAGCTGTGGAGACACAATACAATAAAGAATGAGCAGCTACAACACAAAGACTCTGTTTAGAGCAAGATTACAGGAACACTAGTTTTAATGCACTTTAAGGTTATGGGGTCACTGTGCATTTTTGTAAGAGGAAAAATCGTAGGTGCATAGCACAGCCATTTTTTCTTGGGGGTTCAAACTGACCACCTTATAAAATTAAAACATTTAAAGAATTATAAAATTACAACAGAGAAAGTAAAATAAAGCATACAGATTTAATTGAAATGGTTCAGAATACAAAGCAAATTTTAGGCACTATAGAAAAAAACTGTCAGGCCTCCCTCCAGCTCTGTAGTTCCTAGTACTCACAATCCCGATCTTCTCCTGAACTCCAACTCCCAGAATCCCCCAGGAGATCATGTGACACTCCTCAATCATCATCCAATGAGCAATCATTCTCAAGATCATGTTCCCCAGAACACTAACCAGTCCTACCTGACCTTCATTAACACCACTCTATAAAGACTGTTTAAATAACAAGGGTGGTGCTACCAGTAAAAACAAACAAAAAAATGCTCTTTTGTTTATATTATGCTAATGTCACACATCCCACGGACCCTGCTCTCGCTAACGACTCTGGGAGATTATGTACCTCTCACACCACTCTCCTCTGTGGACCACCTGACAGTCTCACCACCAGTGCCAATCAATCACTGTTCTTCCTCGCCTGAGCATTAATGATTTTCACGTGTCTGACCATCGTTGTCTGTTTAGTTAGCATATGAGCCCAGGCTTTTAGTTTAGTTCTTTGCGAGGTACTGAGCGTCGATTCTTGTGCTGTTCTACCCATGTGCCGATCCTGTTTCCTGTATTTTTCAACTCTGTCTTTTTGTCTTTGCCTTTTAAATTGATTGCTTGGCTTTTCTCTGTTATGTTCTGATGGATTTTTCTGGTTTTAACCTTGTCCTGTTTTTCGACTTTGTCGCTCTTGAACCCCAGTAAAGCTTATTTTAACTACAGGCATCTGACCAGTATGGTTGTGTTACAGCTAATTTCAAACCATAAAAACCTACAGTGCAGGGTACTCAGCCACTGCTGCTGTCACTGAAGGTCCACCATACGTTTGGTCTGCACAGTAAAACATTCATGATGGAGGCTACTTGACTGGTTCCAAAAGATTTTTTTTTCAACTTAGGGCACCTAGAGCACAAAAGATAAAAGACAAGATGCATTTCTTCCACTGAAAACAGTAAAAAAGGCATCTTCGGTCTGCAAAAGGGTATCCTTTGAACCCCCCTTAAGACTGTCTGCAATGTTAGTGTTGTAGAAAACTTCCTAGCTGGCCTGTGGAATGCAGCCAGGCAAAGCAGGACCACGATAATGGAAGAGAGGTCAAATGAGGCAAAGAGTTCCCATTTCTGGCAGATTATATGGGTGGTGCTAAGAAACCCTTCCAGAGGGGTGACCAATCCAACCATTCAATGAGAAAGACATTTTTCCTTAATCAATATTGTAATGTGACTTTCACAGGACATTTATAACACCTGTGCATGTCATGTGTTGCCTGTAAAGGGGTGGGGGGGTTGGGGGGGGTGGAGTGTCAGATTGCTGATTGCTTTATTATTAAACTTTGTGAACATTTTACCCATGTGTGTATCGTTTTATCACAACAGTTCTACTGCTAGGGAAAAAACTCCACATCCTTCAGATGTAAGAGAAACTATTACTACCGTTATTGTTGATTAATATATTCTGGGTGTTAATTTTCAAGTTCATCTAATTTTGAGACTGTTTTGTCCTGGTGCGCCGATTATGAGAATTGGTAATAATAATAATAATAATAATAATGATAATAATAATAATAATAATTTCTAATACATTAATCATTAGTAATAACTCCTGCAGTTCATATATTTCACAGCAGGACAGCTCCTCTTACCATGTGGAGAGATTCTGTTGAGTGTCTCTTCACAGAATTCCTCCAGTTGCTTCTTCAGATCAGACAGAGATTTGGTCACTTTATCAAATGAGAGATGTTGACTGATGAAGATGTTGGGAGAGTCTTCAGATCCAGAAGAGACACAAAGAGACTGGAGACTCTACATAAAAAAGAAACAAAAAATATATCACACATAAAACTATCATAAAATGCTCAGCATTTCTTTTTTTGATGTAGGCACCTTCACATATAATCAAGCTCAAACAGACAATGGAAATCAGCTGATGGATCACGTATGTTGAGACAAAAAAGCTGACTGGACAATCACAGGATTATAAATAACTGAGTTAAAGAAATAAACATAATAAAACGTTTAAGGGAAATAGGTTCCTCTGTATTTCAGACAGTGGTTGTTACCTGGAGGAAGTGGATGTGATCCTCTGTGTGTGAAAGCTGCTCCAGCTCAGTGTCTCTCCTCTTTAGACCAGCAATCTCCTGCTCCAGCTGTTCAATGAGCTCTTCAGCTCCACTCAGTTCAGTCTTCTCCTGAGCTCTGATCAGCTCTGTTACCTCAGAGCGCTTTTTCTCAATGGAGCAGATCAGCTCAGTAAAGATCCTCTCACTGTCCTCCACTGCTGTCTGTGCAGAGCTCTGTTAGACACACACAGACCAGATGGAGGACCATTTGAAGATCAACTATCATTGGCTTTTACTGTAATCCATGGATGACTGATTGTCCACTTTATGGCTGTGTAGGATGACAAAGTGTCTTAATAGTGGTCTCATTACTGTAGGAGGGTCTGACTGAGGTGTGAAGTAGCTGCTCCAGCAGATCTCTGCTCACTTACTCACCTTAATAGTGTTCACAGCCTGTTTCAGCTCCTGCAGCTTCTTCTCTTTCTCCTGGATTCTCTGCTGAGATTCTTCATGCATCTCCTTTAACTGACGCTGTGAACAAACACATTTTGATTTTTTTTAAAATACGAAACACAGGAAATTGCATTAGTAGCACATGAAGAGTTAATGTTCTACCTTGTTCTACAGAAAAAGGGTGTCGGCTCATAAAATGTTCACTGACTTCTCTGACTTGTTCATTACTAACATTTAGTAAGGACACATTTATGTAACACTTTCAGAACTAGAACACTTTAAAAAATGATATAGAGCAATTTCTGTCAATCAAGCAATTCAGTTACTGAATAATGCAACAGATTTATAATTAGAAATATAATAATCATGTATTCATTCTGTAAGATCATATTCTCACCTGTCTCTCAGCTCTCTCTGCTACAGCTGCAACTGTATCGTGGCCTTTGTGTTCGTGCATCGTACACAAATAACAGATGCATGTTTGGTCAGTACGACAGTAGATCTCGATCAGTTTGTTGTGCTGAGAGCAGATCTTCTCTCGTAGTTGTGTGGAAGCTTTGACCAGCTTGTGGTTTTTCCAGGAAGAAACTTCATAGTGAGGTTTAAGATGAGTTTCACAAAAGGAGGCCAAACACATCAGACAGGACTTGATGGCTTTGAGTTTCCTCCCAGTGCAGAAATCACACTCCACATCTCCATGTCCAGCGTAACAGTGAGCAGGAGAAGCAGCTCGGAGTTCTGTCTTCTTCAGTTCCTCCACCACTTCAGCCAGCATGTTGTTTCTGCGTAGAACAGGCCTCGGAGTGAAAGTCTCTCTGCACTGGGGGCAGCTGTAGACCCCCCTCTGATCTTCCTGATCCCAGCAGTCATTAATACACACCTTACAGAAACTGTGTCCACAGTGAATAGTTACTGGATCCTTCAGCAGATCCAGACAGACTGGACAGCTGAACTGGTCCTGATCTACTGAAATACTGGCCATTTTCCTGCAGTCACAGACTGAGAGAGAGCAGCTCTCTGAGATCAGTTCTGTTTCTGAAATGAGTAGGAGTGGCTTCATGATTCTGCAGTTTAGAGAGCAGAGAGAGGGCGGAGCCAAACAGGCTGTTACACTGAAGGAGAACAGTCAAGCTGTATAACAGAGAGAGAGAGTTTTATTGATACAGTCAGAAACAGATAAACTGGGTTGTAGTTTGTGGCTGTTTACAACATTTACAACAATCTTATCTGTCATGTACAATCTTACCTTTATTGTCAGGTGATGCTCCGTGTTTCTGTCCTTGTACTAGAATCACTCTACTCTGCAGTTTTGTTTTCTCTGCTCTGAGACTTCATTAAAAACCCTTCATTATCAGTACAATCTTTACACATCAGCTCTGTATGTATCACCACTTGAAGATTTTTTCATTTTTTCTTAAACATGCTTTAAATGTGCACATGTACAAACAGTTTTAGATAAAAGTATGTGCTTATAACTTACCGTAACTGTTGTTGTTACACTTAATCATTAGAAGAGGGACTAAAGGCCTTTAAATGATCTTTGAATGACAACACTGGACCAGCAATGAAGATAAAGTTTGTTCATATTTTTTAAATACAGTCATACAGATAGTACACACAGTAAATGCAGACACAGTAGCAGTTTTGGAAGTTTATTAAAGAAAAGAATGAATCAATATGTGGGACTAATTTAGTTGTGCATATGAATACCCCAAAAAAAAATTATTTTGTTTTTTTTTTCAGTTCTTGTTTTACTATGCATTGTAATCCTCATTATAAATAATCGCAGTATACTTTGTTGGGGAACACATATCAGGAATATACTGCTCACTCAGGCATTTAGGCATCTAGTGCAGCAAAAGGGTCCTGTACAATCGAATGCATTGCAAGAGCCATGTGTACAGCCATGTTTTCAGAGCTGACGAATTGTGCATTGTTTGTGCTTTCAGGTGAGCTGAACTGTATTAACAATAAGAAATACTAATACTAAATGAATGTCTGACATAAACAGCCTTGTAATATAAAATGGGAGTCGTATGCTTGGGTTGTGAGTGAATACTGACGACCGTAGAAATCAGTATGGTTTAGCGTAGCTGTGAAAGTGTTAATAACCTGTTGAGCCTCACAATAGTAGCCTGCAATATTTAAGAGTGACGGGGATGGTGCTAGTGAACTAAGAAACTTATCGCTCTGAGGGAAGCCTTTTGTTAAAGTTTTGAATTATTTGAGTTGTATTTTACCTTGTTCAGATACAGAAAAAAAGCTAGTGCGGCGAAAGGGTCCTGTACAATCGAGTGCATTGCAAGAGCCATGTGCACAGCCATGTTTTCAGAGCTGACGAATTGTGTATTGTTTGTGCTTTCAGCTTGTGAAGATCACAAGTAAACTCATGCGTGTATGGAGGCTCTTCATTTCCCATCGCGTGTGTAACAAATCTTGTGGCCCATACGGGGATTATGCTAAAATCCACACTAGCAATGTCACAACCAGACGAGCGTTGGTTAAATCCAGAACAGAACCCATAGACAATGCAATTAATGAGGAAGAGGAGGACATGGTTAAACAGTATCTCACTTCACTGTTGCAATGGATTGATCCACATTAAAAAGGTCAAGCCAACACAGATGAGAGAGATAGTTCAGATTCCATAGCACAGAATATTCCCCATACTGGAGAAGATTTGAGTCTTTCACAGAAATACTCACAGCTTCAGCTCAGTAATCAGGCTTTACAAGATGAAGTCAACAGACTTAATGAAAGAATCAATAGGGCACCCACCAGCCAGCCAAATGTGTTGATTTCACATGTAAACCGACTACCAGAAGTGTCAGTGAGGAGGGAATTTAAAATCTGTGGTCAAATTGGAGAAAGGGAACAAAAAGACAAACTCTCATATACAAACTTGATGTACCAGATTGAAAGGGGACTGAATAAAGGACACAGCGAGGAGGAAGTTATAGAAGCTGTAGTGAAAGCAATCAGTCCCCTCAAAACTTTTTATTTAGAGCCATTGAGTAAAAGGAAAGGTTAGTGCTTTCATCAAGAGAGACTGGTTGTGATGAGCGTTATAGCCCTGAACTCATTCAAAAGAAATTCTTAAGGTCAGTTCGCACTGGACTCATCAGTGAGCATATAAAGTTCCAGATGAAACCCTATCTGGATGATCAGAGAGTGACAGGTGAAATCCTTATTGACAAGATGAATGAAGTAGCAAGTGTAGAGTTTGAAAGGTAATTGAAACAAAAGAAAAACATGAGCGGTAAACTTCCCAAAGTGAGTGAGTTACAAGCAGAAGTGCAAATCCTTCAACAGAGCCATGGCATGGGGCAGCAATGTCTGAGGTCAGAGAACAGTGCACTGAAGCTGTGAAATCAAAGACATGCTGATCCCCTGCTGTAGTTAGTACAAGAGACACTGAACTCTATGAAATGATTACACTGCTAAGAGAGAAAGTGACTGAGATGAGAAAATGCTTTCGAAACCTCCAAAGTCCCAATCAGGAAAAATGAGTGAATCGTTGACCAGTGTGAGCAGTCTGGGCATTTATCGAGGGGCTGCAGGGGGCCGAAAAGATTAGTGGACAAACCCAATAAAGTTAATGTAGCAGCCAGTACAGTAGCCAAACCATTGTCTCCAAGTTACATTAAGCTGGAAAATAATGAGTGTCAGGGTGAACCAGAGCAAGATCAGCCGGTTAAAGCTACAGAGGCCACAGGCGCCACCTACGTCAGCCACCTCTCCCTACGCCTTGCCGAAGTAGTGAGTGATGCTTTTTCCATTGACTCCAAAAAGGCAGAGATGCTGTTGCAGCTTGTATGTGATAGGGAACAGGATGAGAAGGAGGGAGTTGGACAGGGGAAGACAGTAATTCCAGCAGGCCAGATGAGAGAAGTCAAATGTGGTGTGAGAACAGAAGTCCTGTTTGAGCTGGTAGACAGCTTTAAGTGGATGAAATTAGCATTATGGAGACAGTTGTTTATCTGCAAAAAGGGAAATGGTCTAAGGTTGTCATTCCAGTCACAAACACCACAATATTCTACTCATCCCTTGCACAGTTCTGGGCCACCTCCAGAAAATCAAAGCAGTGTATCCAGTGGAAGCAAAGCAAATCAATTTGGAGCCACTGGAAGCTCTTGATGGGGTGCAGCACACTCCAGAGCAGAATACTAAAAGCCTGGGAGAAGAATGTAGAACAACTGAGGTCCCTACAAACCCAAAGTTGCCTACAGAATAAGAACTTTGGGACCCACCTGTAGCTATTGGGTGCAAGAAAGATGGGAGGTTACGACTGTGTGTGGACTATCGTAAGCTTATCCAGAAGTCTATTCCAGAACGACACCCCATCCCTAGGGTGCAAGACATGCTCAACAGTCTCAGTGGTAGTGCATGGTTCTCCATTCTGGATCAGGGCAAGGCCCACAATCAGGGCTTCCTTGAGGACAAATGCAGACCCCTCACAGCCTTCATTATACCCTGGGGCTTATATGAGTCGGTCTGGATCCCATTTGGCCTGTCTTTGGCCCCAGCAGAGTTCCAGCGTAGTATGGAGGAGTGCCTCTCTGCCCTGAGAGATGAGACCTGCCAGCCATCTCTGGATGACAACCTCATACACAGTAAAACATTTGAGGACCATCTCTGAGATGTAAGGGAGGTGTTGCGTTACCAAGCCCATAGCTTACTGCCAAAAAGTGTGAGGTTTTCCTGGGTAGGATGGTATCAAAGGAGGGTTATACAATGGATCCAACTGAGCTTGCTCCAGTGCAGGCATTAAAAGATCGCGAACCGGAGACAGTGGGAGATATGAGAAAACTGCTGGGATTCATTTCCTATTATCGCCCATATATCCCAAATTTTTCAAGAATTGCCACTCCTCTTTATAGCCTACTATCGGTTGGAAAGAGTTCTAAGAGCAAGAAATGTGACCAAGCTGTGAGTAAAGGTGGTGCAAAGCAGAAGAAAGTTGACCAGTTACCATCCCATCAGCGGGTCTCCTGGACAGGACAGCACCAGGAAGTCCTTTGCAAACTTATTGAATTTCTCCTTAAACCACCCCACTTGGGCTATCCAGATACTGAAAAGCCATTCATGCTTCATTGTGATGCTTCTCAAGAAGGACTTGGTGCAGTACTGTACAAAAGACACCTAGGGAAGTTGAAAGTAATAAGCTATGGGTCAAGGATACTAACTCCACCAGAGAAGAATTACCATCTTTACTCAGGAAAGTTGGAGTTCTTGGCTCAAAAATGGGCTATATATGAGAGATTCAGAGAGTATTTATACTATGCACCTTCGTTTGTCGTCTATACAGACAACAATCTGCTAACGTGTATCCTGACCATGGCAAAAGTGGCTGAGCTGGCTAACTTTAATTTTTCTACCAAGTATCGTCCAGGTAAGATCAATGGAGATGCAGATGGCTTGTCACGCATGCCCTTGGACATGGAGCAGTATATGCGTTCATGCTCACAGGAAGTGCAGCCCAGGGTGATTACCACAGTCACACAAACACTTCAGCTCGAGTCCCAGGAACATACTCCTTGGATGTGCTCTCTCACTATTGCGACAGCATGGGCAGAAGACAATCAAGAGCGAACAGCCCCAACAATACCACAGATTCCCTCAGAAGACATCAGGAAAGTCCAAGAGATAACAATAGATCATTTCACTCACTTTGCACAAGTGTATGCATGCACCAATAAATCAGCAAAAATCGTAGCTAAAAAGATTTTTAGAGACTTTGTGCTGAAGTTTGGGTCCCCAACAAAACTCCATCATGTTCAAGGCAAGGAGTTTGAGAACAAGTTGTTTACCAAGTTTCAAGAATACAGTGGCATCCACGGTTCACGCATAACAACTTATCACCCTGTGGGCAATGGACAAGTAGCGGTTCAACTGAACACACTTCTCTATGCTTCAAATCTGAACGAGGAGGCAAAGGCTGACTGGAAGAGCTCCCTTCCCAAAGTGGTCCATGCATACAACTGTACATGCACTGAGGCAACAGGGTTTGCACCATATTACCTCCTTTTTGGGAGAAATCCTTGACTCCCTGTAGACATCATGTTTGGGTTGTGTGTCATATGATGAGTATGCTGACAGGTGGAAACAGCGAATGGCAGAAGCTTATAAGCTGGCATCGAAGACAGCTCAGTAGGAGTGTGATGAAGCCAAAGAGAGGTATGATAGGAAGGTGCATGGAGCTGATTTACAACCAGGATGCAGGGTGCTGATACACAACTTTGCTGAGAGAGGCGGCCCTGGGAAACTCAGGCCTTACTGGGAGGAACTGAGAGAAAACATGAAGATGGTCCTGTGTATGTTGTACGACCAGAGAAAGGTCCAGGTTGAACACGGGTTCTCCATCATAACCTCTTACTGCCCTGTGACTTCCTGCCAGTCAGGGAAAAAGAGCCTGTGGAAGGCAAACAGACTGAAAATAAACCAGGGAAGAGCACGAAGTATTATAAAAGGGGGAAACAGGAAATAGCAGGGGATGTGACCAGTTCACAGGATGAATTTGGCTGGGAAATCATTACCACAGCACGAGTAATAACACCTGACCAGGATCAAAACAAGCAGAGTACAGAAGCTGTTGAAACCCAGCACATGCCCCCACCTCCAGGGGAGCAACCGGAGCCAAGCAGTCACTAAGAGTGTGAAGAATTTGATGATCCAAGCAGGGGGGAACAAGCCCACAAGTGTGAGAAGGCAGCTGATCCAGAATTGGTGGTAGAGCAAGAGGATGTTGCAGCAGAGCCAGGAAGGTCCTCAGATGAAGCAGATGAGAACGACATTAAGCCACTGATGCGCCCTGCCAGAAAGTATCCCTTCAGGCATAGGAAACCACCTAAGATGATCACGTACAACACACTAGGCCAGCCTTCAGACACACAGAGACCCAAGCCATAGACAGGGTTTAAATGATCGAAGTTTTTTGTAAGAGTTCAAGTTCAGGGTCATAGTTGAAGTAAGATACAGTTCACATTTTGCATAGTTTGAGTTACAGTGGTGCATAAACCAGATACTGGACCGTTAACACATAATTAATACTGACAAAAGGTGAAAGAGAGATGTGTAGCATTAGTGTGGGTCCATTAAGGGAGTTATGGGGTCACAGTTAAAGGGTCTTTACCCTCGTGTCAAAGATAAATTACCTGCATTAGAGGCGGAGAACTTATTACAGATATCGCCTGGACAGCGATTCCTGTGACTGGCATAACATGTTACATGTGATGTCAAAGACAGTTGATATACAGAACTGAAAGAAAGACTGACTCTTTGACTGATTCCCATAACTCATGTTAATGACAAGATTATCTAGGGAATGTGCCATATTTTGGAAGGGAGAGTGTGGGACTAATTTATGTTATGCGTATGATTACCAAACCCCTGCCCGATTTTTCTTAATTTTTATTTTGTTTTTTTCTTGTTCTTGTTTTCACTATGCACTGTAATCCTCATTATAAATAATCGCAGTATACTTTGTTGGGGAACACATGTCAGGAATGTACTGCTCACTCAGGCATTTAGGCATCTAGTGCAGCGAAAGGGTCCTGTACAATCGAGTGCATTGCAAGAGCCATGTGTACAGCCATGTTTTCAAAGCTGACAAAATGTGCATTGTTTGTGCTCTTCATTTCACACTGCATGTGTAACAAATATACTAAATATCACAGGGTCAAACACTGTTAGTGTCATATAGTAAAAATATAGAATACAATATTTATCTATGACATTATTTGGGTTTAAATGAAGGTTTCTGTTAAAGAGACTCAACAATGTGGATATAAAATCAGTTCTGCAGTGATTTCCAGGTTAAGTCCTACAGTTTAGTGTTTTCTCCACCTGAGTCACACCTGATGATCAAGTCCTTCTAGAGCTGAATCAGGTGTGATAGAGCAGGAATAAACTAAACTGTGCAGTGCAGGTGGACTACAGGACCTTAGTGGAAACACTGATCTAGAAGATGAGTTTGAGCTCCAGCTGAAAGACTGCAGTGGATTCAGCAGTGTGGATTTCTGCTGGTGGAAGCTCTGACTCTCAGGAGACACTCAGAATACAATAGAGAGATCTTACACTCATTTTCCTCCTGTTACTTTCCTTAATTTGTTTTCCACTCCATTATGGAATATAAGCTTACAGAAGGGGCTGATCTCAGTCTTAGTCCTGAGTGACACCTGATCTACACAGTTTAGTGGTTTTACTGCTTTAACACAACATGTTTATTCATCAGCTGATCATCCTGACCTTCAGGTGTTGAATGAAGCGTTAGAGAAAAACAGAAACACTAAACTGTGCAGTGAGGGGTTCATCTAGGACTGGAGCTGGAAACACTACAGGATCCAAACTTCACTTCAGAACTGAATCTGAATCTGATACATTCTGCACAGAACGACATCCAGTGAGAGGATTCTGGTGGGTTGAAGACGAGAGAAGAAGGTCTGATAGAACAGCAGATGTTTTCTGTGTTTACTGTGAAGGTTTACACTGGAGGAAGAAGCTTTGATGAAGCCTAACCCAACTGTTGTTGTCTTATGAAGCATGAATGACACTTACAGGAGAGCTGTAACATATTTTCTAGAAAAGGAAATTTTCCAGAATTTCACAGTGATTTATATTTAGAGTGTGTTGCTCTGCTCTACGTTCAACTTACATAATTATTTAAATGCAATTCCATATTGAGTTACATGGTAACTTGTGTGGGTTTTTTTCTTTTCGCAAAAGTCTGACTCTACACACCCCAATAAACTTTCCTCAACTTCAAGCCATAAAATATCTCCTCTTCTACTTACAATTTGGTATTGAGTGAAAGTTTATCATCGGCACTTTTCACCAAATTTCTCTGCTTGTTTCAATGAAAAACGTCTAAGAAGAGGCGTTTCAAGGCACGTACAGTCATAGAGGACCTAGAAGGGTTAATATTATACATTCTCTTACTAAATATTTCACTGATATTCATTTCAAATTGCATAAAGTCACAGTAGATCCAACATAAGGAAGCCAGAATCCAACATAGAGAGGCTGAGTGAAGGTGGCGTGGACTGTGTGTAGGAGGGTCATTGTGTCAGAGACGCTGTAGAAGGACAGAGTTCCTGCACTGTGATCCACATACACTCCTACTCTGGAGGAGGACGGGGCTGAGATCTTAGTCTCAATGTTGTTGTGCCAGAAAGAGAGAGAGGAAGAACATCGAAGACTCCAGGACTGACTGTTGTATCCAAACTTACTATCATTACCTGATCCTTTCCTGCTGATCCTTTTATATGAGACTGATATGTACACATATTCATAGTTCTTTTTGCTCCACTCAACCTCCCAGTAACAGCGTCCACTCACACTCTCCTTACACAGAACCTGATACCAGTGGTTAAATCTCTCTGGATGGTCAGAGTACGTCTGGACATTACTACTACTTCTAACCACTCTGTTCTCCTCAGACAGAATGAGGTAACGATTTGCTGTGTGGGGATCCAGAGTCAGCTGACAGTAATCTAAAAAAGAAGAGTTTAGTTTATACTGAAAGGATGTTTTTATAGTATTTTGACTGTAATGAACCTTTATGCATGTATTTCTAAATCCAATAGTTTTCTTGCATACGAAGATAAACAGATAAACAAGTAAACAAATAAATATAATCACAATGAACAGAAACTGAAAGTATTGAAATTGGAAATGACAGTGAAAAACAAGCAACTTAGATTTTTACTGAAAAATGTCATATTTACAGTGGTAACACTACATTATATATATATGTGTATGTGTGTGTGTGTGTGTTACATACACTGTAGAAAATCCTCTCTGGTTTGTGGTTCTGAGGTTAACATCTGAACTGCTGCAGCTGTGGAGACACAATACAATAAAGAATGAACAGCTACAACACAGAGACTCTGTTTAGAACAAGATTAGAGGAGGAACATCCTCATTGTAATATTCAGTTAATGCTAGGACCGTTTTTAGTTTATCAAATTCACTGTGGTTCAGATCAGATCTTTGAGCACCAAATGAAGTGACCAAATCATGAGCCACCCTGAGCTCCAGTGTGAAGAGGACATCAGTGTTAAAGTGCACGTTTTTAAAACTGTCAACTGTATTTTTGTGGTTTGTTTTATAAAATTATGACTCAGTGTAAAAGCTTTGTCAGCCTCTCTGGCACAAATGGAAAGTGCCCTAAATATACAGATTATAACTGTAATATGCTATATATTTAAATAATGAATTATTAATATTTAAATAATGAAATATTGATATTTATAGAAAACTCTGTCTTAATTTAAATTAATGTATGTAATGTAAAACATTAGCTTAACATTTCATGCTGTGTACACATTTCCTGGGACAGGAAGGAAAACTGATCCATCTTACATTCTGCAAAAACCTGAACATTTCTGTAAATCTCAACAGATATTCATCAACATTTGATAAAACTAAAGCTAAAACACTGAACTGTGGAGTGCTGTGTCCTCCAGACATGCAGCATAAAACCCCACACACCCCACTTCACTCTGCTGACCAAACACAAACATCCAACATCATATTTCACAGCAGGACAGCTCCTCTTACCATGTGGAGAGATTCTGTTGAGTGTCGCTTCACAGATTTCCTCCAGTTGCTTCTTCAGATCAGACAGAGATTTGGTCACTTTATCAAATGAGAGATGTTGACTGATAGTGATGTTGGGTGAGTCTTCAGATCCAGAAGAGACACAAAGAGACTGGAGACTCTACATAAAAAGAACGGGATTAATTACAATATACACTTTAGTGGAACATTAGACTGTATTATACAATATTAAGTCATGGTGTATATAAAATCTTCATTACTGCCAAAAGGAACAACTATATTAAACTTTTAAGATGATCAGGTTCCTCCGTATTTCAGACAGTGGTTGTTACCTGGAGGAAATGGATGTGATCCTCTGTGTGTGAAAGCTGCTCCAGCTCAGTGTCTCTCCTCTTTAGATCAGCAATCTCCTGCTCCAGCTGTTCAATGAGCTCTTCAGCTCCACTCAGTTCAGTCTTCTCCTGAGCTCTGATCAGCTCTGTTACCTCAGAGCGCTTTTTCTCAATGGAGCAGATCAGCTCAGTAAAGATCCTCTCACTGTCCTCCACTGCTGTCTGTGCAGAGCTCTGTTAGACACACACAGACCAGATGGAGCTCCATTTAAAGATTGTGCACAATGTGGCTGTGTAGGATCTCAAAGTGTCTTAATAGTGGTCTCAGTACTTTAGGAGGGTCTGACTGAGGTGTGAAGTAGCTGCTCCAGCAGATCTCTGCTCACTACTCACCTTAATAGTGTTCACAGCCTGTTTCAGCTCCTGCAGCTTCTTCTCTTTCTCCTGGAGTCTCTGCTGAGATTTCCCCCGAATTCCCTTTAACTGACTCTGTGTTCACATAAGACACATTATACCACTAAGCTGAAGAGTTGGAAGCTGGGTGATTGAAAAGATCAGCTCAGTAAACCTCTTTTGAAAATTAGTATCTAGTTCACAGCTGAGTTACAGATGCAGTTCAGTGCAAACAACAGAGCAGCCAACTGTCCGAATACTTTGTGTCAACAACATGGGAGGACTATGTATGACCACTGCTGTAAAATCCCACAAAGTTCATTCATACATCCCCTCAACACAGCCAACACAGCTGACACTCTGCACTTTAACTGGGTAGAACCTGTTTCATTTCAAACTCGTTGTGCTGAATTACACAACCAACACCACACAAACTGCTCCATTAGTTTATTACAGACTGCTCTGTGAGTAGTTATGCTCATTTATAACAGCTGTGCTCTTCTATATTCAAAACACTGCAGTTAAAATCTTATTTAATATCGTAGTTAATCTTGTTGACAAATATGTAATCAAGAATTTATAAAAGAACTGACCTGTTTCTCAGTTCTCTCTGCTGCAGCTGAGACTGAATCATGACCTTTGTGTTGATCCAACATGCACAAATAGCAGATGCATGTTTGGTCAGTACGACAGTAGATCTCGATCAGTTTGTCGTGCTGAGAGCAGATCTTCTCTCGTAGTCGTGTGGAAGCTTTGACCAGCTTGTGGTTTTTCCAGGAAGGAACTTCATAGTGAGGTTTAAGATGAGTTTCACAAAAGGAGGCCAAACACATCAGACAGGACTTGATGGCTTTGAGTTTCCTCCCAGTGCAGAAATCACACTCCACATCTCCAGGTCCAGCGTAACAGTGAGCAGGAGAAGCAGCTCGGAGTTCTGTCTTCTTCAGTTTCTCCACCACTTCAGCCAGCATGTTGTTTCTGCGTAGAACAGGCCTCGGAGTGAAAGTCTCTCTGCACTGGGGGCAGCTGTAGACCCCCCTCTGATCATCCTGATCCCAGTGTCCATTAATACACACCTTACAGTAACTGTGTCCACAGGGAATAGCCACTGGATCCTTCAGCAGATCCAGACAGACTGGACAGCTGAACTGGTCCTGATCTACTGAAATACTGGCCATTTTCCTGCACTCACAGACTGAGAGAGAGCAGCTCTCTGATATCAGTTCTGTTTCCTCTGAACTGAGTAGGAGTGGCTTCATGATTCTGCAGTTCAGAGAGCAGAGAGAGGGCGGAGCCAAACAGTCTGTTACATCACTAAAGGAGAAGCTGTATAACAGAGAGAGAGAGTTTTATTGATACAGTTAGAAATAAATAAACTGGTTCATAGTTTGTGGCTGTTTACAACATTTCTAAACTCATCACATTTTTCATGAACAAAAGACACATACAGTAAATACAGACACAGCACGTTTGTTAAAGAAATTTTAGTGTGATGTGGAAAAAAATCTGGTAACACATTATATTAAAGGAACATGATCTGACAGCAATTTAAGGCATTTACAATGAATAACTAATCAAACAATAATGAATAATTAATCAAGAATATAAGAATAAGTCATATATTAACAATCTTGAGATTAATTTACTCAGCATTCACTAATGAATGTACTAATAAATGAAGATGAAGGTAATAAAGGCTTTTTTTCAACATCTGAATTTATCAGGAATTCATGTGTTAATTAGTTGTACATAAAGCTAATTAATACACTTTGGCCACCACAAGAAACTCCATCGGTTTCAATCTGTTCATGCGGTTGTTTATACTCTTACCTGTCATACTGCAGCGTCATACTGTTACCTGTGTAGCTTATGTGCCAACATAATTCTGATGTGTTCATATTTATTTACCAAAAACAGACATTTTATATGACTAAAGACTGTCAATTGACTTAATATACACCACTGTTATTATGAATTATATCTACCACCCATAGATAAATAAAAATGCATTTCCCATTATGCATCTGTTTTGGCCAATGAGAAGCAGTTTTGTCCAGCATAAAAACATTTTTCTTCCTTTTACAGGTGAGCTGGTGAAATAATGCATGTCATGGATTATATACACAATTTGCATTTACAGCAGTAGTGTTCACATGTGGTGCCTAGTGGTCTGAGTGCTGCGAGTGTTACACCAGTGTGTATTTTCAAGCCTCACATCTTCTCAGAGTAGCATGTCAAACATGCAGCTGTAGCTGTGGTCAAACAGAACAGTGTTTCAGACGCTGGTATCACTGATATCATTGTAAAGTGTGTTAAGTGTTTAGTTTGGTGCTTATTTACTTAGTATTAGTAGTAAATCTGTTTGGTTTAAAGAGCAGGAAGGAGCTTGTGTTCCTCAGGAGCTTCAGGTGATTCCATGAATGTGAAAATCTCTGTGGGGTTAAATAGCAGTTCTGATGTTTGTGGAACGATCGTACCAGTGTGAACTGGATCCTTTTCATTTTCAGTCTGTGACGCTGACAGGCCTAAATTCACAAAACCTGGTTCTATATATGGCTTAACAGACAAAAGACTTCGGTAAGTAATGATGAGCTTTTACTGAGTGTTAGCATTTCATCAGTAATGTCGATTATTAACTAATTTCGGAGTTTAGGGGTAAGTGTGGGATAAACCATCCCTCATGAGGCACTATGTGTCAACATATGAGTTAAAAGATGTCATATTTTTAAAATAAAGGATGAATCAAAACTTGATTGGCAACTGTCACAAGTGAGGAGTAGCGGAAAAATATGTAAGAATAAGAATAAGAGTAAGAATTTTATTTTATTAAATAAACGCAGAAACTTGGTTGGTAGAAACAGACAAGATTACATAAGAAATCAACAACAATAAACTCCAGACCTGACACAGATAAAGACACGGCTAAATACAAGGGGCTGCTCACACATCACTACAAACCAAACACAGGTGGACAAGATGATGAGAGGATGGAGCTGCAGAGAAAACACAATATTCCAGAGCACTGTGCCTCGGGGGGATCTTGTGAGAACAAAATGATTAATTAACACATGAATTCCTGATAAATTCAGATGAAAAAAGCCTTTATTACCTTCATCTTCATTCCTTAATACATGCATTAGTTATTGCTGAGTAGTTTAATCTTATGGTTGTTAATGTATGAATTATTAATTTATAGTATCTTAGTTTTTCTAACATTTTATTGTAGTTTTAATGTTAATTCAGCCTTCAAGTGTATTAAACAGACTCAGCTTAATGTTATAACTGGCCCTCTGATGAGGTCATTCAGGCTTTTAGAACATTCTCCCCGTTTTATGTAGGGAGCTACCTATAAATATGCGCTACAGTAGGACATTCAGAACTCCGGCTCTTATTTGTTAGCTGAGCCTGAAAAGAGCTAGAATGCCCATCGCTAGGGTGAACGCCATAAACCTGCATGAACACACCACTACACTGCTGACTATATGTGCTTAGTATAAACACAGAATCACATACACAGACACGTTTCCTCCAAAATGAAATTCAAATCAATGACCAAAACATAACGATATGACTGTCTACTGAGCAATAACAAGCAATACAGCATGTATCAACAACCTCACCCACACAAACTCAAACCTGAGCAAAGCTCACATCTTTACACACAGTAAAAACCAGAGGACAGAATCCAACAACCTCTCGCAGGAGATCCTCAAATTACACGTACTTTATTTCACTATAAGGGTGGAATAGCAACACTTATGCCTTAAAGGAGAACCAGAACAAAAACACACTGGAAAAGTGGGGACCTTTGAAGTTTGATTTGATCTAATTTTTTTTCCACAATAATCAAAGCCACATTAACTGCCTCCCCCATACTTAAGTGGTATTGACTGAAAGTTTAAAATGTGCACTTTCAACAAAAATCCCCCCCCTTTTTTATAAAGAGTTAAAGTTGAGAAATAATTACACAAAATGGGAGGAAAAAAGGTATTTCAAGGCATCAACATCAAGAAGGACTCAAGTGGCTTAATTTCGTATTTCCCATTACTAACAGATCAGATATTCATTGTGGATTGCATAAAGTCACAGTAGATCCACTAGAAGGAAGCCAGAATCCAGCATAGAGAGGCTGAGTGAAGGTGGTGTGGACTGTGTGTAGGAGGGTCATTGTGTCAGAGACGCTGTAGAAGGACAGAGTTCCTGCACTGTGATCCACATACACTCCTATTCTGGAGGAGGACGGGGCTGAGATCTTAGTCTCAATGTTGTTGTGATAGAAAGAGAGAGAGGAAGAACACTCCAGACTCCAGGACTGACTGTTGTGTCCAAACTTACTGTCATAACCTGATCCTTTCCTGCTAATCCCTTTATATGAGACTGATATGTTCACATATCCCTTACTGCTCCACTCAACCTCCCAGTAACAGCGTCCACTCACACTCTCCTCACACAGAACCTGAGACCAGAAGTCAAATCTCTCTGGATGATCAGAGTACGGCTGGGTATTCATATTGCACTTGACCACTCTGTTCTTCTTAGACAGAATGAAGTGAGGATTTGCTGTGTTGGGATCCAGAGTCAGCTGACAGTAATCTACAGAAGGAGAAGAGTTTAGTTTACAAAAACTTTAATAAACTTTAGTAAACAGATAAACATAATCACAATGACCAGAGACTAAAAATGACCAGATTGTAAACGGTAGTGGTAAAACACTGTATTGCACTGATTTGTTACTGAAATAGGTCATACTTACAGTTGTAACAGTGTGTGTGTGTGTGTGTGTGTGTGTGTATTACATACACTGTAGAAAGTCTTCTCTGGTTTGTGGTTCTGACAGTAAGATCTGAACTGCTGCAGCTGTGGAGACACAATACAATAAAGAATGAACAGCTACAACACAGACTACAGAACATTTAGAACAGGATTACAGGAACTAAATTACAGTGCAATGAAAGAGTACAGAAAGCCCCTACTCAAGTAAGAGTACTGCTACTGCACTGATAATTTACAAGCAAAAGTATTAAACGAAATTACTAAAGTAGGAGAAAATAAGTAATTTATTATAAAAATGCTTCAAGCAACAGAATTATTGGTCAGAGTTTATGGGGAACCTATAACCTGACTAGATTTCCCACATCCCAGCCTTATGTGGCCACATACCTCCAAAACTGAGACAAAGCTGTATTTTATATGTTAACTAAAGTAGCTGACAAGCACCTGCATTAAAGCACACGTGACAGCTTTTACGTTTAAAAACCACCATGTTATTCTTAAACAATGAAATAGGAAGAAAAAAGAACATAGAACCTGTTTAGCTGGGATTACGTATTAATTAGATACCAGGTGGTTATATAACGTGAGAAGATTGTACACAAATAAAGTACAAGATTCGTACATAGTATGTACCTGTTTACTGCTTAGAAACAAAACTGAATCTGGGCTATATAAGAACATAATGATTCTTACTGTGGTTTTACTGGGTTCTTATCACCAACATCAGAAACCTCTCTTTGCATTTTGTCCCATCACTGTACACCATATACCTTCCCTGATACTTGGAGCTGTTTCTGATTTACTTTCCTGCTTAAATGTGTGAGGTTCCTTTGAAAGTCAGTGTATGTTTGTATTGATCACCTAATTACTCCAAATATGTATGCAGTATTTTACTGTGTACTCTACCAGCCTAATATCTAGAACCTGTTAGTCATTTCAGTGTAATTTAGTTCAACTCTGAATGTACCATCATGTTACCCAAATCAATAGTGTTGAGTTTGGACCTCATGCTTAACTGGTTAATACCTAGAATCTGGATAAAATAAGTTTTTACTGATCAGTTTTTACCTGAACATGTATGTTTCATGCGATTTGCCGCATTGTTTTATACACATGTGATTATTCAGTGGTGCTGCTAAGATTTGAGTGGCACATTCAAATGGAAACAATCCAGCAGATCATGATCACTGTGTGTGAGTGTGATCTCTCTATGAGAGCATAATAATGTCAGGGTTCTCAAAACATGAACATTTCTGTGTATCTAAGCTGATATTACAGAACATACATCAAACTCAGCAGAGTTAAAGCTAAAACACTGAACTGTGGAGTGCTGTGTCCTCCAGATATGCAGTATAAAGCTCCACCCACCCCAGTTCACCTGGCTGCTGACCAAACATCATATTTCACAGCAGGACAGCTCCTCTTACCATGTGGAGAGATTCTGTTGAGTGTCTCTTCACAGAATTCCTCCAGTTGCTTCTTCAGATCAGACAGAGATTTGCTCACTTTAACAAATGAGAGACGTTGACTGATGGTGATGTTGGGAGAGTCTTCAGATCCAGAAGAGACACAAAGAGCCTGGAAACTCTACACAAACAGAAACAAAGAAAGAAAATATCTAAAAAATAAAACAGATAAAACTACTAAAATATGCTTCTATAATATACATATATTATTAATATATTCTTTTTATTTATAGTGTATACAGTGTCTGTTTCCCTGCTTGTTGCAGAGCAGGCCATTGTTTAGTAAGCTGTGTCACTGCTCGTTAGAACTACATTACCCAGAAAAACTTGAAAACTGAAACTTCAAAACTCAGTTTGCCAGATGATAATCACTGTGTGGGCCTAGAGCGCCCTCTGTTGAATGTGCACTGTAGTACCTAACAGACCTTTTACTTTGTACCTTAGCATTGCCTGTTATTAGAATTCGTATTCAGAAACTCATTGACTGTATTGTCTAGATTGTTTATTCATATTTAATAATGTATAATGTATGTAGTAACGTATGTTACGTACCAAAGCTTTATGTTAAGTCATTTCTTCATGCACCTCTACACAGCCTGACCCACATATTCAGAGCCTGTCTCTATATGCTGAGCATCTTGTGGAGGTGACAGTTAAAGATTCTGATGAACTCAACCTGAGATTAGTCATCATCTGTCCTTCTGACCAGGAAGGTTTCAGGCACCAAGTATACAGTACCCTGCAGGATCTTCATTACTGACTAAAGCAGTGTTTCTTAATTCTCTTCTTCACAACTGATCCAGATCATAGAGAGCAGAGATACCAGCTGATGAGCTGGATCAGGTGTGTTGATACAGAGAAGAGCTGAAGCTGCATGGCAGTCATAGGATTATAAATAACTGGCCTAGAGAAATAAATATACTAAAACTTTTAAGATAAACGAGTTCTTCTGTATATCAGACAGTGTTTGTTACCTGGAGGAAATGGATGTGATCCTCTGTGTGTGAAAGCTGCTCCAGCTCAGTGTCTCTCCTCTTTAGATCAGCAATCTCCTGCTCCAGCTGTTCAATGAGCTCTTCAGCTCCACTCAGTTCAGTCTTCTCCTGAGCTCTGATCAGCTCTATTACCTCAGAGCGCTTTTTCTCAATGGAGCAGATCAGCTCAGTAAAGATCCTCTCACTGTCCTCCACTGCTGTCTGTGCAGAGCTCTGTTAGACACACACAGACCAGATAGATGTCCATTTAAAGCTCAACCATCATTCACTCTCTTACTCTCTAGTCTCTTGATCACTTTCATCTCTGCTCACTACTCACCTTAATAGTGTTCATAGCCTGTTTCAGCTCCTGCAGCTTCTTCTCTTTCTCCTGGATTCTCTTCTGGGATTCACTCTGCGTCTCCTTTAACTGATGCTGTGTTATACATGATAATCACAGTGAAGGTCAGTGGAAGCAAATGAGCAGTCCAGTTACTTCTGATCACCTAATCTGGGAGAGTGTGTTTGAAACCAGCTGTATATCCAATACATTTAATCCAATATGTTCATATCAGATTCAATGTGCTGAATTACACTGTTTCCAATGTGCCACTGTTTTAATTACAGACCGTGACAAATCTTACTCATTTGAACCTGGTCTTTTTCTAACAAATCAAAGTATATCATATAGAAAAAATGAAATAATGCAGAAATATATTAAAGTTCTACTTCTGACCTGTTTCTCGGTTCTCTCTGCTGCAGCTGAGACTGTCCTGTGGCCGTTGTGTTGATCCAACATGCACAAATAACAGATGCATGTTTGGTCAGTACGACAGTAGATCTCGATCAGTTTGTCGTGCTGAGAGCAGATCTTCTCTCGTAGTCGCGTGGAAGCTTTGACCAGCTTGTGGTTTTTCCAGGAAGGAACTTCATAGTGAGTTTTAAGATGAGTTTCACAAAAGGAGGCCAAACACATCAGACAGGACTTGATGGCTTTGAGTTTCCTCCCAGTGCAGAAATCACACTCCACATCTCCAGGTCCAGCGTAACAGTGAGCAGGAGAAGCAGCTCGGAGTTCTGTCTTCTTCAGTTTCTCCACCACTTCAGCTATAACATTGTTTCTGCGTAGAACAGGCCTCGGAGTGAAAGTCTCTCTGCACTGGGGGCAGCTGTAGACCCCCCTCTGATCATCCTGATCCCAGTAGCCATTAATACACACCTTACAGTAACTGTGTCCACAGGGAATAGCCACTGGATCCTTCAGCAGATCCAGACAGACTGGACAGCTGAACTGGTCCTGATCTACTGAAATACTGGCCATTTTTCTGCACTCACAGACTGAGAGAGAGCAGCTCTCTGAGATCAGTTTCACTTCCACTGAATTGAGTAGGAGTGGCTTCATGATTCTGCAGGTCAGAGAGCACAGAGAGAGGGGGCGGAGTCAAACAGGCTGTTACATCACTGAAATAGAACAGTCGAACTGTATGATAGTGAGAAAAAAAAAGGGTTTCACTGATACAGAAACAAGCTGGGTTATTATTTGTGGCTGTTTACAACATTTCTTGATTTTCCTCTTTGCAGAAAAACACTCTGTAATCTTATCTTCCTGTAACGGCCCAGACTGGGGTTGGACTGTCTGCTAGGCCACTTTGACCACCAGAGGGATGCACAGAGGCACTTCACCATGATTACAGTCAATCAGTGACACTTGTTCCTCCTCTATTTAAGAGAAGCCAACTCCCACATCTGTGCTCTGTCTTGGGTTCTCTAAGCTTGTAATTTAGTAAAGCCAGTCACATTTTCTCCAGGGTCTCCCTTCTCTGTTACTTCTCTTGACTGTGCCAGAAGTAAACTCTTACGGATTCCTCTCTATGTTTCTCTGGCTGTTCTTGCTTGGCTATTTCTTAAGTCTCTTACTTTGGGGTTTCCAAAAAAATATTACTCAGAGAAAGTGCTGAGTAACAGTAGAGTGCTAGGCAGCTGCTTAGAGGAGCCCATGGCTGCTGGTTATTGGGAGGTTTCAGGAGTAAGATTATTTATAAAGCTTTGATATTTACATTATCTGGCCTTTTCTAATGATGATTAGAAGCCATAGAGCTCAAATCTCTTGGGGTGCCCAAACTTTTGCATCAAGTTCCTTTCCATTTTTCAGTCTAAAATTTTACAAAACAAAAATAATACACTGTTCTTGTTTAAAATGTTTAGCATTATGCCTTTTGGAGATCAGTTGACCTTCTACTTATGTAATTATTCACAGTAGCAGAAACTTTGACCAGGGGCCTAAACTTTTGCATACCACTGTAGTTCATAATTATTGTAGTCATGCAAGTAGACATGAACTGGATTGCCTATAGTTGAGTCTTGAGCTATAATTCGGTACAAATGATCTTTTCGTTGTGTTTCATTTTCCAGGACGTGTGGAAGAGAAAACCACAGGGGTAGGAACCTCACATGCTCCATCAGAAAGGACTCCATATTTTCCTGGTCTCACATTTCTTTGTCCTCCTGGTTGCAAATAATTCACAGGTTGGTAAGTCATCTCTTTAAGTGCATACACTACTGTTCAAAGGTTTGGAATCAGTGTTTTCAATAATTACATTGTCAATAATTTTTAGCAATGTTTTACTATAAAGAGACTAGAAAAAACTCCTTCTGTTGATTGGTTCTTCGGTTCTGGCCTTGGAGCAAACAGCACAGTTTCATTATTTTCCTGCGTAAATACTGATTGATCTTGTCTGTTAATTGTCAAGTTTAGTAGTTTGAGTAGCTTGAACAAAGAAATCAAGCGGTGCTGTGCTGTACTGCAATTAAAGGACCCTGAACTAGGGTGAAAGAAACTACAGCTGCATTGGGGTGGATTTTCAATGGGTGGGAAATGTGGGAAATGTGTTTTCTAGCTTCTTAGAAGCAAGATTAACTATCTGTCTTTCAAACACAAAAAAAGGATGCTTAAGTACCTTGTTGCAAGCATGTGTTTGCCTTCCAGCGCTTACTGTATGGTCCTAAAAGTTCAGCACAACGTAGTTGTAGTTTTTTAAAAGTTCTTCCCACCTTATACCTAGGTTTTATATATATATATATATATATATATATATATATATATATATATATATATATATATATGTTTTTCTTGTCCTGAGTCTCTCATTCTATAACCATTTTTAGTGCCTAGAGTGACTACACATCTGCGAAAAGTGTGTGGGCGAGCAATAAGGCGACATGAGAGAAGAAGAAAAGTGAAAATTGGAGGGCAGAGAGCTTTTGTTGCAATCGATGAGAGCAAATTCAGACACAAAAGAAAGGTGAATGTAGTTTAATTCTATATTTTGTTTAATAAAGTGCATAATGGAATTCTGTTTTATTTGCTGTTGGTTTCTTTTTTCTTGTTTTGTTTTTAAAGTATGGACGAGGGAGGCGAGGACAGACTTGGCGAAGGAGGTCATAGGTTTTTGACTTGCTGGAGGTAAAGCGTTCCACAAGGAACTGTGTTCATTTTCACGTAAACTAAAGAAAGCAGTGTTATTATCAGCAGCAAAACACAAAACCTGCTGAGATCCACTGTCACAACTCGACTCCAGCCTGAGGGAGCGTTAGCCGAGCTAGCTGATCTGAGGTAAACAGGTACTGTGTTTATGGTTTTCTTCTGTCTTTTATAATGTTTTTGTTTATTGCACTAGAAATCTGTTGCGTATATTTTATTACAAGTGCCTTTCGGCTACTTTAGTTAACAGGTGTCGCCCACAGCCTACAGTTAACTCGTTTATACAGCCCAGTTTACCTGCTGTTTTGGAGTTAACCAACGATTGTGAACGGCTGTGATACAAGAAATCTAGTCTAATACAGGCTCTTCATCAACTCTGCACAGTGATTCTGTCGCAGTGTCGTTATTTAGGCTGATTGGCCTGATCTGATCCCTCCCCATCTCCCTGCCCTCTCTCTCTCTCTCTCTCTTTCTCTGTCTCTGTCTGTCTGCTCCCTTTTAATGAACTACTCATTTACTCTTACTTGAGTAAATTTTATTTACTAATGTACAGGACATTTCACTACTCTTTTCACCCCTGCTGGTCTCCTATAATAAGGGTTCCAGGTTTGAATCCACTGCTGGGTGAGCTATACTTTCATGCACAAATGACAAGTGAAGCCTGACAGGCCTCCCATTCTACCCACATACAGTAAATGCAGACACAGTGGCAGTTTTGGAAGTTTAATAAAGAAAGGAATGAATCGATGTACTAAATACAACAATGCTGTTAGTGTCACAGCATACAATATACTTATAACATTATTTGGCTGTTCATGAAGCTTTCTGTTATATTCAAAGTGATAGAGACTCAACAATGTGGATATAAAGCAGTTCTGCAGTGATTTCCAGGTTCAGTCCTACAGGAACCCAGTTTAGTGTTTCCTGCACCTCAGTCACATCATTAGCTAATGGTCAAGTCCTTCTAGAGCTGAATCAGGTGTGACAGATCAGGAATAAACTAAACTGTGCAGTGCATGTGGACTACAGGACCTTAGTGGAAACACTGATCTAGAAGATGAGTTTGAGCTCCAGCTATAAGACTGCAGTGGATTACAATGAGGAGAGCTGTAAAACATTTTGGAAAGACATAATTTCAGAGTAATGTGGTGATTTAAAATGTTTTTGTAATGTAAGGAAGTCTAGATTCATTACTGTTGTTCAACTATACATTCAATTTACTTCATTATTTAATGTAATTACATTATTACATTTAATTTCCAGGTTTGAGTTTGCATTTGTGTTGCAGTCCCTAATTTTCTTGATGTCAAAAAGATACTAAAACCATCTAAGGGATGATTTTTCTTTCCACAAAATAAAAACTATATGTGCAACAACAACATTTCATCAAAATCCATCATGATATTGTCCTCTGATAAACAGAAAAGTAGTATTGATTTAAAGTTAAAACTTGAAAAATCACTCTGAATTGCGTAAAGTCACGCTGCATCCAGAAAAAGGAAACCAGAATCCAGCATAGAGAGGCTGAGTGAAGGTGGTGTGGACTGTGTGTAGGAGGGTCATTGTGTCAGAGACGCTGTAGAAGGACAGAGTTCCTGCTCTGTGATCCACATACACTCCTATTCTGGAGGAGGACGGAGCTGAGATCTTAGTTACAGTGTTGTTGTGATAGAAGGAGAAAGTTAAACCACAGCGAAGACTCCAGGACTGACTGTTGTGTCCAAACTTACTGTCATTACCTGATCCTTTCCTGCTGATCCCTTTATATGAGACTGATATGTACACACATCCCAAAACCTCACTGCTCCACTCAACCTCCCAGTAACAGCGTCCACTCACACTCTCCTCACACAGAACCTGCCACCAGTGGTCAAATCTCTGTGGATGATCAGAGTACGCCTGGACATTGTCACTGTATCTCACCTTTCTGTTTTCCTCAGACAGAATGAGGTGAGGATGTGCTGTGTTGGGATCCAGAGTCAGCTGACAGTAATCTACAGAAGAAGAAGAGGAAGAAGAAGAAGAAGAAGAAGAAGAAGAAGAAGAAGAAGAAGTGTTGAGTTTATACTGATATATTGTACTTCTAGTTTTTCGAACATATGACTGTTTGTATACTTTCTAAGAAATTCTTTATAACTAGATAACTGTGTGTGTGTGTGTGTGTGTGTGTGTGTGTGTGTTACATACACTGTAGAAAGTCTTCTCTGGTTTGTGGTTCTGACAGTAAGATCTGAACTGCTGCAGCTGTGGAGACACAATACAATAAAGAATGAACAGCTACAACACAAAGACTCTGTTTAGAAAAAGATTAGAGGACTTTCTCATTTTCATGTTCAATAAGAGCAGAACTGGAACCACTTATAGATTCATCCAGTTTTCTATGGAGACTCCAGGTACTAAAAGAAGTGAACAAACCATAAGCAGCAATAAGAGAACATTCAGGACCGTTTTTAGTGTTTTGTGTTTTTGTTAGTTTTGTTCCCATTTCTGTAAAACTGACTCAGTTTAAAAGGGTCTTAAGGCTTTGTAGCCCCTCTGACACAAACGGAAACTGTCATAAACATACAGATTATAATTATTTATTCCTTTAGTAAAAGGACGGCTGTAGAACTTGCTGGTTGTACTGATTTGCAGCACAAGCACTGTATGTGTGAATGGTGTGTGAGTGGCCACTGCTGCAGCATCGCTCATGTCATGCAGAGTTAGTGTATGTGAAGCAGGCCGTGCAAGTGACGTCACCAAACTACAACTGAAAAAAATGTCACAAATCATGAGCATTTCTGAATGTGTGAGTTTGAGGGGACAGAAGTGAAAACTGATCAGTCTTACATTCCTCAACAACATGAATATTTCTGTGTATCTCAACAGATTTTACACAACATGTTGAACTCTTACCATGTGGAGAGATTCTGTTGAGTGTCGCTTCACAGAATTCCTCCAGTTGCTTCTTCAGATCAGACAGAGATTTGCTCACTTTATCAAATGAGAGATGTTGACTGATAGTGATGTTGGGAGAGTCTTCAGATCCAGAAGAGACACAAAGAGCCTGGAAACTCTATTAAAATAGAAATAAAGAACATATACAAAAATGTATAACAGATGAAAATAACAGAGTACTTTCAAAAATATTCACAGGATGCCCTTTATGATTATATTCTAAAATAAATTTGGAGGTTTTAACTTAAGTTAGTGTTCAGGCAGCCTTAAAATCCTGAGTTATTTGAACTTCAAATAAGATGTTTACAGGGCATAAAACAGATTCTTACTCTGGTACCTTACTATTTAAAGTTCACTTAACTCAAAATTTTAATGCAGCCTTAACAACTTTTTACTTTTTAAACTAAAACCCACAAATTTAATAAATGTATAAAGAAAATCATATATGTATATATATATATATTAGAGATGAAACGGTTACCGGTTTCATGGTAAACCGCGGTAAAATTAATGACGGTTAGTAGTACCGTTTGAATTTTAAAGTATCGTTAAAACCGCGGTCGATTACCACGGTGTGAAAAACTCGCTGTACAGAGTCAAACAAAGGCAGAATCATCTCTCAGACGCAGCTCTCTCTCTCTGTGTGTGTGTGTGTGTGTGTGTGTGTGTGTGTGTGCGCGTGTGTAGAGGGTAAGGGGGCGGGGGTGGTGAGAGGGAGAGAAGAGAGAACATGGCGGAATGTAGTGACAGAGATTCGGAGATATTTCAGCCTTCTAAGAAGACCAAGTCTGACGTTTGGTCATGTTTTGGGTTTTATAAGGATGCAGAAGGAAAGTTAATTGAAGGTGACCACCCTGTCTGCAGATGACCACCCTGTCTGCAGAACAGGCCGAAAGAAAATAGCGGCGAAAGGGGGCAACACATCAAACCTTACGGGTCATCTTCGCGACCACCACCCGCTACTTTATAGAGAACGCAAGGTTAACTTGAACGTAGAAGTCTGTGGGGTCTTCGAAATAGAAGAAATGTTGTTTAACTTTTGCTTATGGTTCGTTAATAATATAAAATGAAGCTTTTAGCGTCAAAAAAAAATAAATAAATAAAATCGGTGAATCAGCTGTGAATCGAAACTAAAGCTTTTAACACATGTTTCTGTGGAGCAGAGTCTCCAAAATGAGCTCTGAGTTATCAGTCACACAAGCTCCGGAACGAGACGCTGCAGAGGTTCAATCTGCACAGCTCCCCTTTCTCGCGTGCAGTGTTTACTGTCTTAGAGGAGAATAACACCGTCTCAAATCACTCAATGTCCCCTACATAGTGCGCTACTGTTCAAACAAACACGATCATCATTAACCAGCAGCTGAGCTTTAAATAGGGAATTTGTAGCCAGTTGTTAATGTTGATTATAGATGACTTAGTCGAACATTTCCTGCACCCTTTGGGTGAAGGATTTGCTATTTCATGATCCACGAAGTGCACTACATAGGGAGGATAGTGTGCTTTGGGACGGGACCTCGCGCGAGTAAACGCGGTGTGCAGCTTTTAGGAAAAGCAGAGTTTCAGAGATTAAACTTTAGGAGTGTTTCTGCCGCAGCTCAGATGCACGTTAGTTTAAGTTATGTTTTAGTTTTAAATGCTTTTAGAGAAGCAGCTCCACAGGTGAACTCACACTGTGTGAGTTCTACACTGTCTGCAGCTCACAGCGCGGTCACGCAGTTCCTCTGTGATTTTGGCTGTTTTTCCTGGTGCACTGTGTTGATTAGGGGTTCAGCGCCACAACGGCACAATAATGCTGCAGCTGCAGTTCGGACAGAAACCCCCAAGTGCAGCACGTCTTAGAAGTAGTAATTTTCCATTAAGACCCACCTCAGAGTTGGTCGAGATTTAATTCTCTATGCAGGGAAATCCCTAGTTATTGCAATTAATAATAATAATAATAATAATAATAATAGTAATAATAGTAGTAATAACAGTAATAATGATAATAATAATACCAATAATAATAATAGTATAATAATAATACATTTGCTATTCTATTGTTTACAGAGTATTACAAATATTGTAAGTAATACAAAAGTAATACTACAATTGTATTGACTATATTTTTTAATGTTTATGCAAACAAAAAGTGCATATTGCTGCCAATTCTATTTGTGTTAATATAAAAGTTGGTGAAACGAGTTTCAGTTTGTGTATCAGTATTTATTTATTTATTTATTTTACTTTTCAACACATTTGAACAATATCGCGATAATACCGATAATTTTGGTCATGATAATCGTGATATGAAATTTCAATATCGTTTCATCTCTAATATATATATATATATATTATATATATATATATATATATATGTGTGTGTGTGTGTGTGTGTGTGTGTGGTTGTTACCTGTAGGAAATGGATGTGATCCTCTGTGTGTGAAAGCTGCTCCAGCTCAGTGTCTCTCCTCTTTAGATCAGCAATCTCCTGCTCCAGCTGTTCAATGAGCTCTTCAGCTCCACTCAGTTCAGTCTTCTCCTGAGCTCTGATCAGCTCTGTTACCTCAGAGCGCTTTTTCTCAATGGAGCAGATCAGCTCAGTAAAGATCCTCTCACTGTCCTCCACTGCTGTCTGTGCAGAGCTCTGTTAGGACACACACAGACTAGATGGAGCTCCATTTAAAGATTGTGCACAATGTGGCTGTGTAGGATCTCAAAGTGTCTTAAGAGTGGTCTCATTACTGTAGGAGGGTCTGACTGAGGTGTGAAGTAGCTGTTCCAGCAGATCTCTGCTCACTACTCACCTTAATACTGTTCACAGCCTGTTTCAGCTCCTGCAGCTTTTTCTGGTTCTCCTGGATTCTCTGCTGAGATTTCCCCCGAATTCCCTTTAACTGACTCTGTGTTCACATAAGACATATTATACCACTAAGCTGAAGAGTTGGAAGCTGGGTGATTGAAAAGATCAGCTCAATAAACCTCTTTTGAAAATTAGTATCTAGTTCACAGCTGAGTTACAGATGCAGTTCAGTGCAAACAACAGAGCAGCCAACTGTCCGAATACTTTGTGTCAACAACATGGGAGGACTATGTATGACCACTGCTGTAAAATCCCACAAAGTTCATTCATACATCCCCTCAACACAGCCAACACAGCTGACACTCTGCACTTTAACTGGGTAGAACCTGTTTCATTTCAAACTCGTTGTGCTGAATTACACAACCAACACAACACAAACTGCTCCATTAGTTTATTACAGACTGCTCTGTGAGTAGTTATGCTCATTTATAACAGCTGTGCTCTTCTATATTCAAAACACTGCAGTTAAAATCTTATTTAATATCATAGTTAATATTTTGACAAACATTTAACCAAGAATTTATAAAAGAACTGACCTGTTTCTCGGTTCTTTCTGCTGCAGCTGAGAATGAATCATGACCTTTGTGTTGATCCAACATGCACAAATAGCAGATGCATGTTTGGTCAGTACGACAGTAGATCTCGATCAGTTTGTCGTGCTGAGAGCAGATCTTCTCTCGTAGTTGTGTGGAAGCTTTGACCAGCTTGTGATTTACTAAAGCAGGAAGTTGAAGATGAGGTTTAAGATGAGTTTCACAAAGAGAAACTAAACAAACCAAACAGGACTTGATGGCTTTGAGTTTCCTCCCAGTGCAGAAATCACACTCCACATCTCCAGGTCCAGCATAACAGTGAGCAGGAGAAGCAGCTCGGAGTTCTGTCTTCTTCAGTTTCTCCACCACTTCAGCCAGCATGTTGTTTCTGTGTAGAACAGGCCTTGGAGTGAAAGTCTCTCTGCACTGGGGGCAGCTGTAGACCCCCCTCTGATCATCCTGATCCCAGCAGCCATTAATACACACCTTACAGTAACTGTGTCCACAGGGAATAGCCACTGGATCCTTCAGCAGATCCAGACAGACTGGACAGCTGAACTGGTCCTGATCTACTGAAATACTGGCCATTTTCCTGCAGTCACAGACTGAGAGAGAGCAGCTCTCTGAGATCAGTTTCACTTCCTCTGAACTGAGTAGGAGTGGCTTCATGATTCTGCAGTTCAGAGAGCAGAGAGAGGGCGGAGCCAAACAGGCTGTTACATCACTAAAGAAGAAGCTGTATAACAGAGAGAGAGAGTTTTATTGATACAGTTAGAAATAAATAAACTGGTTCATAGTTTGTGGCTGTTTACAACATTTCTAAACTCATCACATTTTTCATGAACAAAAGACACATACAGTAAATACAGACACAGCACGTTTGTTAAAGAAATTTTAGTGTGATGTGGAGAAAATCTGGTAACACATTATATTAAAGGAACATGATCTGACAGCAATTTAAGGCATTTTCTAATGAATAACTAATCAAACAATAATGAGTAATTAATCAAGAACTGAAGAATAAGTCATACATTAACAACCTTGAGATTAAATTGCTCAGCATTCACTAATGAAGGTACTAATAAATGAAGATGAAGGTAATAAAGGCTTTTTTTTCAACATCTGAATTTATCAGGAATTCATGTGTTAATTAATTGTACATAAAGCTAATTAATACACTTTGGCCACCACAAGAAACTCCATCGGTTTCAATCTGTTCATGCGGTTGTTTATACTCTTACCTGTCGTACTGCAGCTTCATACTGTTACCTGTGTAGCTTATGTGCCAACATAATTCTGATGTGTTCATATTTATTTACCAAAAACAGACATTTTATATGACTAAAAACTGTGAATTGACTTAATATACACCACTGTTATTATGAATTATATCTACCAATCATAGATAAATAAAAATGCATTTCCCATTATGCATCTGTTTTGGCCAATAAGAAGCAGTTTTGTCCAGCATAAAAACATTTTTCTTCCTTTTACAGGTGAGCTGGTGAAATAATGCATGTCATGGATTATATACACAATTTGCATTTACAGCAGTAGTGTTCACATGTGCTGCCTAGTAGTCTGAGTGCTGCGAGTGTTACACCAGTGTGTATTTTCAAGCCTCACATCTTCTCAGAGTAGTGTGTCAAACATGCAGCTGTAGCTGTGGTCAAACAGAACAGTGTTTCAGACGCTGGTATCACTGATATCATTGTAAAGTGTGTTAAGTGTTTAGTTTGGTGCTCATTTACTTAGTATTAGTAGTAAATCTGTTTGGTTTAAAGAGCAGGAAGGAGCTTGTGTTCCTCAGGAGCTTCAGGTGATTCCATGAATGTGAAAATCTCTGTGAGGTTAAATAGCAGTTCTGTCTGTTTTACAGATGTTTGTGGAACGATAGTACTGGTGTGAACTGGATCCTCTTCATTTTCAGTCTGTGACACTGACAGGCCTAAATTCACATAACCTGGTTTTATATATGGCTTAACAGACATAAGACTTGGGTAAGTAATGATGAACTTTTACTGAGTGTTAGCATTTCATCAGTAATAAAGAAACAATAATTAAACGTTTTACTTTCCATACATTCTAAACTCATCATGAATATTCAGTATTCAGTGCTTTCTTTATGATGAACTGACTCAGACTCTGCATAGTGTTGTGTTTTCCTCATTCTGACAGACCTCAACCAGGACAACAGGAGCTGTAAATTAGCACATGAGTTCAGTCAGGTGTACTAGATGTGGGAAAGCATACAAATATGCACAGTGTGGGGTCCACAGGCCTGCGATTGGGACCCCCTGTATATGTCAAGCCTTCTTATGAGGGATCTTGTGAGAACAAAATGATTAATTAACACATGAATTCCTGATAAATTCAGATGAAAAAAGCCTTTATTACCTTCATCTTCATTCCTTAATACATGCATTAGTTATTGCTGAGTAGTTTAATCTTATGGTTGTTAATGTATGAATTATTAATTTATAGTATCTTAGTTTTTCTAACATTTTATTGTAATTTTAATGTTAATTCAGCCTTCAAGTGTATTTAACAGACTCAGCTTAATGTTATAACTGGCCCTCTGATGAGGCCATTCAGGCTTTTAGAACATTCTCCCCGTTTTATGTAGGGAGCTACCTATAAATATGCGCTACAGTAGGACATTCAGAACTCCGGCTCTTATTTGTTAGCTGAGCCTGAAAAGAGCTAGAATGCCCATCGCTAGGGTGAACGCCATAAACCTGCATGAACACACCACTACACTGCTGACTATATGTGTTTAGTATAAACACAGAATCACATACAAAGACACGTTTCCTCCAAAATGAACTTCAAATCAATGACCAAAACATAACGATATGACTGTCTACTGAGCAATAACAAGCAATACAGCATGTATCAACAACCTCACCCACACAAACTCAAACCTGAGCAAAGATCACATCTTTACACACATTAAAAACTAGAGGACAGAATCCAACAACCTCTCGCAGGAGATCCTCAAATTATACGTACTTTATTTCACTATAAGGGTGGAAAAGCAACACTTATGCTGTAAAGGAGAACCAGAACAGAAACACACTGGAAAGGTGGATGTTTAAAGCTTGATTAGATATCATTTTTATTTTTTACAATAATCAAAGCCACATTAACTGCCTGCCCCATACTTCAGTGGTATAAAGTTTAAAGTGTGCACTTTATTTAGTTATTTATTTTTTTAAACAAAATCTCCCCTTTTTTGAAAGAGTTAAAGTTGAGGAATAATTACACAAAATTGGAGAAAAAGGTATTTCAAGGCATCAACATCAATAAGGAGCCAGGAAGTTTAATTTCATATATTCCATTACCAACAGATCAGATGTTCACTGTGGACTGCATAACATCACAGTAGATCCAACAGAAGGAAGCCTGAATCCAGCATAGAGAGGCTGAGTGAAGGTGGTGTGGACTGTGTGTAGGAGGGTCATTGTGTCAGAGACGCTGTAGAAGGACAGAGTTCCTGCACTGTGATCCACATACACTCCTATTCTGGAGGAGGACGGGGCTGAGATCTTAGTCTCAATGTTGTTGTGCCAGAAAGAGAGAGAGGAAGAACATCGAAGACTCCAGGACTGACTGTTGTGTCCAAACTTACTACCATTACCTGATCCTTTCCTGCTGATCCCTTTATATGAGACTGATATGTACAAATACCCCTCACTGCTCCACTCAACCTCCCAGTAACAACGTCCACTCACACTCTCCTTACACAGAACTTGAGACCAGTCATTAAATCTCTCTGGATGGTCAGAGTAACACTGGACATTGTAACTGTGTGTCACCTTTCTGTTCTCCTCAGACAGAATGAGGTTCTTACGTGCTGTGTTGGGATCCAGAGTCAGCTGACAGTAATCTGAAGAAGAAGAAAAGAGGATGTTACTGATGGAATTTACTGTAGAGATTCTTCACTTCAACATTTAATTCATTGTTTGTATGTTATCAAAAATGATGACCATAAAATAAAAATGAGTATTTAAGAAAAGCTAACGATGATCAAAAGCAGGACTTTGCAGTGATTTTAATAGTTAGTAATTATAGTTCTACTCATGATCTGAATGTCGGGAACAGGTGTCAGTATTGAGGGAGGGTGGAGTGCTGAGAGCACACTAATGAGAACACAATAACATTTGTGTTTGTTAGTGATGTGAAGGGGTGTCTGAGTACTGGGTTAACTGATCAAGATGCCGGTATTCAAATATTGAAATCACTATTTGGGTACCATTTCATCACATGACGACAGAGTAAATATACCAACAGTTCAATGGAAGGCCAATCGTTTGTTTTAGTAGGACTGTAAAATGTGACAGTTTTACTCATATTCATGATAAAAATACACCATGCTACACTCGGCCACTGTAAAACATGAGTATGTGAATGTGAATGCATTGCCAAGGACTCGTTGTTAAGGACCTGACTGAAAAGACAGGGATAACGTGGGCAGCTCTGGCTTTTTCACTGACAAGGCTAACTACTCTAGCTGATGTTAGCTGGGACCTGTAAGAGTGAAAAGATGTTTCCCTGATACACTTACTGTTGGTACATCATCCACTGAGGAGAGAGTTACACTTAACCCCTTAAAATCTCAGCCTTATTACATACAAAGACTCATTATTCAGGAACTACAGGGACTTTAGTGAAAACTAGTTTAGCTATTCTTAGGTTATTAAAGTGTGTAATAAAAGTTGGGCTGTTAAATGGTTAAGACGAATAATAAGAAAAAGACGACGAGTCTACATCAGCATTTAGTGCTATACCCGTCATGTCTGTTAGCTGAGTAGCTCGTCTGAAGAGGCAGCCTGTTTTACTCATCCAACTCCAAACCTACAAAAATTCTTTTGGCTGTCTTTAAATAATCAAACATGTTTTTGAATGTATTCCTATGTTCTCGTCTGTGTGCTGCTAAATGAACGGCAATACGTTCTTTAACCCTTATAGATACTCCAATGTTAAAATTAGTCAAAATGCACATCCCTGGTGTATGTGTGTGTGTGTGTGTTTGTTTTACATACACTGTAGAAAGTCTTCTCTGGTTTGTGGTTCTGACAGTAAGATCTGAACTGCTACAGCTGTGGAGACACAATACAATAAAGAATGAGCAGCAACTTTCTTTTATAGTTCCTAAAGTTCTAGGTATTAACCAGGCAAGTGTGAGCACAAACTCCAAAGTTCTAGGAAAATTACATGAGGTAAGTTCTTCAAGCTAGTCTAACTAAAGTACAGTGGACGAAAGAGTACAGAAAATCCCTACTCAAGTAAGAGTACTGATACTGCACTGATAATTTAGAAGCAAAAGTATTAAACAAAATTACTAAAGTAGGAGAAAATAAGTAATTATTATAAAAATGCTTCAAGCAACAGAATTATTGGTCAGAGTTTATGGGAACCTTCAACCTGAAAAGATTTCCCACATTCCAGCCTTATATGGCCACATACCTCCAAAACTGAGACAAAGCTATATTTTATATGTTAACTAAAGTAGCTGACAAGCACCTTAAATAAAACACATGCAACAGTTTTTAAGTTTAAAAACAGCCGCCATGTTATTCTTAAACAATGAAGAAATAAGAACACAGAACCTGTTTTAGAACACTGAGCCCGTTTAGCTAGGTTTACGTATTAATTAGGTACCAGGTGGTTATATAACGTAAGAAGACTGTACAGAAATAAAGTACAAGATTCGTACATAGTATGTACCTGTTTACCGATTATAAACAAAACCGAACAGAAACCTGTCTTTGCATTTTGTCCGATCACTGTAAGCCATATACCTTCCCTGATACTTGGAGGTGTTTCTGATTTACTTTCCTGCTTAAATGTGTGATATTCCATTAGTTAGTGTATGTTTGTATTGATCACCTAATTACTCCAAATATTTATGAAGTATTTTACTGTGTACTTTCTCAGCTTGATATCTAGAACCTGTTAGTCATTTCAGTGTAATTTAGTTAAACTCTAAATGTACCATCATGTTACCCAAATCAATAGTGTTGTACTTGTACCTCACGCTTAACTGGTTAATACTTATTAATAATAGAATCTGGATAAAATAAGTTTTTACTGATGAGTTTTTACCTGAACATGTATGTTTCATGTGATTTGCCTTATTGTTTTGCACATGTGATTATTCAGTGGTGCTGCTAAGATTTGAGTGGCAAATTCAAATGGAAAAAATCCAGCAGATCATGATCACTGTGTGTGAGTGTGATCTCTCTATGAGAGCGTAATAATGTCAGGGTTCTCAAAACATGAACATTTCTGTGTATCTAAGCTGATATTACAGAACATACATCAGACTCAGCAGAGCTAAAGCTAAATCATTAAACTGTGGAGTGCTGTGTCCTCCAGATATAACACTCCACACACCGCACTTCACTCTGCTGACCAAACAGAGACATCCAACATCATATTTCACAGCAGGACAGCTCCTCTTACCATGTGGAGAGATTCTGTTGAGTGTCTCTTCACAGAATTCCTCCAGTTGCTTCTTCAGATCAGACAGAGAATTGCTCACTTTATCAAATGAGAGATGTTGACTGATGAAGATTTTGGGAGAGTCTTCAGATCCAGAAGAGACACGAAGAAACTGGAAACTCTACACAAACAGAAATCAAGAAAGAAAATATATTAAAGAATAAAGCAGATAACAAGATATGCTTTTATAATAAAATAATAAGATTTATTTTTATTTATAGTGTATTTATAGTGTCTGTTAAACTCCCTGCTTGTTGCAGAGCAGGCCATTGTTTAGTAAGCTGTATCACTGATTGTAAGAACTACATTACCCAGAAAAACTTGAAAACTGAAACTTCAAAACTCACTTTGCCAGATGATAATCACTGTGTGGGCCTATAGCGCCCTCTGTTGAATGTGCACTGTAGTACCTAACAGACCTTTTACTTTGTACCTTAGCATTGCCTGTTATTAGAATTCGTATTCAGAAACTCATTGACTGTATTGTCTAGATTGTTTATTCATATTTAATAATGTATAATGTATGTAGTAACGTATGTTACGTACCAAAGCTTTATGTTAAGTCATTTCTTCATGCACCTCTACACACCCTGACCCACATATTCAGAGCCTGTCTCTGTATGCTGAGCATCTTGTGGAGGTGACAGTTAAAGATTCTGATGAACTCATCTGTCATCATCTGTCCTTCTGACCAGGAAGGTTTCAGGCACCAAGTTCACAGTACCCAGCAGGATCTTCATTACTGACTAAAGTAGTGTTTCTTAATTCTCTTCTTCACACCTGATCCAGATCATAGAGAGCATAGATACCAGCTGATGAGCTGGATCAGGTGTGTCGATACAGAGAAGAGCTGAAGCTGCAGGGCAGTCATAGGATTATAAATAAGTGGCCTAAAGAAATAAATATTCTAAAACTTTTAAGATAAATGAGTTCTTCTGTATTTCAGACAGTGGTTGTTACCTGGAGGAAATGGATGTGATCCTCTGTGTGTGAAAGCTGCTCCAGCTCAGTGTCTCTCCTCTTTAGATCAGCAATCTCCTGCTCCAGCTGTTCAGTGAGCTCTTCAGCTCCACTCAGTTCAGTCTTCTCCTGAGCTCTGATCAGCTCTGTTACCTCAGAGCGCTTTTTCTCAATGGAGCAGATCAGCTCAGTAAAGATCCTCTCACTGTCCTCCACTGCTGTCTGTGCAGAGCTCTGTTAGACACACACAGACCAGATGGAGCTTAATTTAAGCACAGCTATCATTCACTCTCTTACTGTGTCTCTAGATCACTTATTGTCCACTTTATGGCAGTGTAAGATCCCAAAGTGTCTTAACAGTGGTCTCCTCACTGACTGACTGGAGGAGAGTCTGACTCAGGTGTGAAGTAGCTGCTCCAGCAGATCTCTGCTCACTACTCACCTTAATAGTGTTCACAGCCTGTTTCAGCTCCTGCAGCTTCTTCTCTTTCTCCTGGATTCTCTTCTGGGATTCACTCTGCATCACCTTTAACTGACGCTGTGTGGAAATAACATACATGACAATCACAGTGCAGGTCAGTGGAAGCAAATGAGCAGCCCAGTTACTTCTGATCACCTAATCTGGACGACTGTGTTTGAAACCAGCTGTATATCCAAAACATTTTATCCAATATGTTCAGGCCTACCTTTGAAAAAACATAGCACTGCTTGAATAAATTGTTTCATATCAGTTTCAATGAGCTGAATTACACTGTTTTAATTACAGACTGTACTGTGACTAATCTTGCTCATTTGAACCTGGTCTTTTTCTAACAAATCAAAATATAACATGTAGAAAAAATGAAATAATGCAGAAATATATTAAAGTTCTACTTCTGACCTGTTTCTCGATTCTTTCTGCTGCAGCTGAGACTGAATCGTGGCCTTTGTGTTGATCCAACATGCACAAATAACAGATGCATGTTTGGTCAGTACGACAGTAGATCTCGATCAGTTTGTCGTGCTGAGAGCAGATCTTCTCTCGTAGTCGTGTGGAAGCTTTGACCAGCTTGTGATTTACTAAAGCTGGAAGTTGAAGATGAGGTTTAAGATGAGTTTCACAAAGAGAAACTAAACAAACCAAACAGGACTTGATGGCTTTGAGTTTCCTCCCAGTGCAGAAATCGCACTCCACATCTCCAGGTCCAGCGTAACAGTGAGCAGGAGAAGCAGCTCGGAGTTCTGTCTTCTTCAGTTTCTCCACCACTTCAGCCAGCATGTTGTTTCTGCGTAGAACAGGCCTCAGAGTGAAAGTCTCTCTGCACTGGGGGCAGCTGTAGACCCCCCTCTGATCATCCTGATTCCAGCAGCCATTAATACACACCATACAGAAACTGTGTCCACAGGGAATAGTTACTGGATCCTTCAGCAGATCCAGACAGACTGGACAGCTGAACTGGTCCTGATCTACTGAAATACTGGTCATTTTCCTGCACTCACAGACTGAGAGAGAGCAGCTCTCTGAGATCAGTTTCGCTTCCTCTGAACTGAGTAGGAGTGGCTTCATGATTCTGCATTTCAGAGATCAGAGAGAGGGCGGAGCCAAACAGGCTGTTATATCACTGAAGGAGAACAGTTGAGCTGTGTAACAGTGAGAGACAGTTTTATTGGTACAGTGTGAACCAATTAAACTGTGTTATAGTGGCTGTTTACAACATTTCTTGCTATTCCTTTTTTCAGAAAAATATTGTTTTATCTCATCTTTCATGCAGAAATGACAGCTGAAGCCTGCCAGGGTCCCAGTCTTTCTCTCCTTGCACTGGAATCTCCCTAAACTGTAAAACATCTTCGTATCAGCTCTGTTTGTATCACCACAGTAAGATACTGTGATTGTGAAAAGCTGTAAAAATGTGCACAAACTGCTTTAAGTAAAAGTATCTGCTCACTCACTGTAATTGTTGTTACACTTAATCACTAGAAGAGAGACTAAAGGCCGTTAAATGATCTCTGAAGGACAACACTGGACCAGCACTGAAGTTAAAGTTTATTACTGTATATGTACAGATATACATCATCATTCTACACATATACAGAAAACGCAGACACAGTAGCATTTTTGGAAGTTTCTTAAAGAAAGGAATTAATCAATATACTAAATATTGCAGAGTCAAACAATGTTAGTGTCATGTAGTAAAAAATATATCATACAATATTTACCTAAAACATTATTAGTGTAATTGAACCTCTCTGTTATTTTCAGTGCATCACAGAGACTCAGCAATGTTCATACAAAAGCAGGTCTGCAGTGATTTCCAGGTTCAGTCCTACAGGAACCCAGTTTAGTGTTTCCTGCACCTCAGTCACATCATTAGCTAATGATCAAGTCCTTCTAGAGCTGAATCAGGTGTGATGGAGCAGGAATAAACTAAACTGTGCAGTGCAGGTGGACTACAGGACCCTAGTGGGAACACTGATCTAGAGGATGAGTTTGAGCTCCAGCTGGAAGACTGCAGTGGATTCAGCAGTGTGGACTTCTGGTGGTGGAAGCTCTGGCTCTCAGGAGGCACTCAGAGCAGAATGGAGAGATCTTACACTCAGTTCATCTTTTTTATGCTGTCTTTCTTTATTTAAGTGGTTCTGAGTGATACCTGATCTACACAGTTTAGTGTTTTACTGCAACAAGTTTAGTTCATCAGCTGATCATCAAGACCTTCAAGTGTTGGATAAGGTGTTGCAGAGAACTGAAACACTAAACTGTGCAGTGAGGGGCTCATCTAGAACTGGACCTGGAAAACACTACTGCCTCAACATCACTTAATAAATAAAGATGTATCAAACAGGCATATACAGATTTTAAAGGGGATTCTTGTAGGTTGAGGATGAAGTGAGAAGGTGCATTTGAATGGCACGTGTTCTGTTTCTAGCTTGTTCTAGGTAGCTAGCTAGCATTAAATAGTTTTATCAGTGACTGTAGAGCATGATGGCAGCATAAGGCACGAGGAGATGAATGTGAAGCCTTTACTCTCTGTGGTTACAAGCAAATTAAAGTCAAATACAAAATATGCATACAAACGTATCTCTGGTCATGTGTAGGTGTGTATACAGTAAAGCAGGGTAATTTTTGGTAAATTAAGACAAAACAAATGGGTAGAACTCATGACACTGGAGTTAATTTTGTTCTTGGTGGGCAGTTTTCATGTAATTCTAAGCCTCATTTCAAAGTGTATTTCGTTGGTTCTTCTGATTTTTGGCTGTTGCCTTTGTTTGTTGATGATGGGTTCATGGATTTGCCTGCATTGTGCCCAAAGGTGAGCCCTGCTTCTCATAACTCTCGGTGTAAACACAATTAAAACGGTCAATGGCTTTATTACCATGAATAATTGGTGTAGGCTATAAATGGGCATCTCGTGCAGTGACAGGTTTCTGCTGAGAGTTCGATTACAGACATCAGCACAGAATCAGTCAATCGTCCCAACAAGTATTACTTATATATTTTTTAATTCCCACATTTCTATCAGGTAAGAAGACTCTCAATATAAGGGGCCCATATCATGGAAAACTGAATGTTCCTCACCTTTTTGAAATAAAAGGATTTGAAGAGGTTTATAAACCACAAAATCAAAAATGTATCGTTCAAATCTCAGTCCATACAGTCCACATATGGAAACTGAGCTGAAAAACAGCCTGTTTTGAATTCATTCTTTTTGTGATGTCATGAAAACAAACACGTAACTGCCTGTTCAGTCTACAGCAGGTTAGCCCCACCATCTCACACTGAAATTATAGGGAGTATTTCAGCACAAGACATGGCAGCCAATTGGAACAGAGAGCATTTACACATATCAGTCTTAAAAGCACAGTAATGAAAGGAGACTGTTTAATTCTAAGGAATAAAGGGAAGTTGAAAAATTGTCATGTAAAAATGTACAATGGCTGTTTTTGGTACATAAAAGCACACACATGTAAATGTAATAAAAATGTTGAATTCAAAAATGCAGAATATGAGCCCTTTGAAGCACAAGATGGGACCAGATTTTCTTCTCTGAAACATTTCCAAATAATGCAGTAATTATGTAGACATATTTCCCAGAGAACTGCTTACTAGCTATGGCTTCTTTATAAGAGCAGCTAATTAGGGATCACAACAATATTGGCCGCATTTATTCCTAATAAAATAATTTAATGAAGTATTTATAATAACATTTTATTTTTGATAACTGTTGCAGAGTAAAAATGTGTGTTGCAGTTTGTGAACTTTTTAGTTTAGACTACTAAAATTTCAGATTGAGGTGCCTGATGTGTGCAAGAGAGAGACGGAGAGAGATCATGCCAGTGCTCATGAAGGACATGCTCTGCAAATTTGCCACCTTCATGTGATTTACAATGCATTATAGAAAAAGACATTATTAATGTAAGATAACATAAGTTGATGCTTATCTTCTAAATGCATGCTAGCTAGTTGATTAAGCTAAAAAAAGCTAAGCTAACAGGCAGCAAAACCTTAGATATTAAACAGAAGGATGTGTAATAAATGTACCAGCACTACATACTGTGATTTGTCTCAGGTCTCAAACAGTTCGTCTTTAGTAATATCAAATTTTTATTATTATTTTTAGATGTTATTTTTAATTTTATAGCCAGCTCAGGATTATTTTTAAATTGTAACTGTACACAAACATTAACATTTATTAATATTTTTATTGGTACTACAATACATACTCAAGCAGAAATGATCATTACCGTGATTTTCTCTCATGCCACGAGAGTACTGAGCCTCTATCTGGCATCTGTTTTAAATCAGACATGATTTTGTAGCGCATTTAACGGATTCATGTTCTCTGCGAAGTCTTGTTTGGTATGTCCTGCAACTTGAGCGTTGTGTTTTGTGTATGCCCTCTCTGGTCATGACCTTTTTGCCTGCCTTTATCATTTGTGAGTACCAGATCCTTTGTTTGGACTGTTTGCCTGATTCTCTATGCTGTATACGACGATTCTGACCCTGCCTGGTATCACTGATGTATCTACTGTTTGCCCAGTAAACCTGCACTTGATTCCTAACCTTTGTTATGGACTGGATCATTATGTTATCTGTGCATCAGTGTATGAATTTGAAGCTGTGCTCAAAAGCTGTACTTGTGGGACCTGTACAAGTGCAATCCCATCACTGAAAGGGTACAGTGTGTTGTTTTCTATCCATATCCAAAACTACAAACAAATTGATTAATCACTATTGACACCAAGCAAGTTTGGTACTTGTTAGTGTTATTTTACAGTGTTACAGTGTTATTTTGCTAGAAAAACTGAAATGGGCTGTCTCAAAATGTCAAATGAAATGTCAATATATTGAGTCATCAAAGGTGAGACATAGATGGTCCACAAACATTTTTAATGTCTGCTGTGGCAGTATGCTTTAGCCTAGGGTGAGTAGGTTTGTTTTGTGTGTTGTTTTTTTTTTGGTACATTTCAACTGAACAAACAAATTCCACAGTCTATACTTCAGTGGAAGGATTACACATTTAGTTACTAAATATCTATTATTTCAGATTGCACAGTGTCATAGTTGATCCAACAGAAGAAACCCACAACCCAGCATAGAGAGGCTGAGTGAAGGTGGTGTGGACTGTGTGTAGGAGGGTCATTGTGTCAGAGACGCTGTAGAAGGACAGAGTTCCTGCTCTGTGATCCACATACACTCCTATTCTGGAGGAGGACGGGGCTGAGATCTCAGTCTCAATGTTGTTGTGCCAGAAAGAGAGAGAGGAAGAACACTGCAGACTCCAGGACTGATTGTTGCGTCCAAACTTACTATCATTACCTGATCCTTTCCTGCTGATCCCTTTATATGAGACTGATATGTACACATATTCCTCACTGCTCCACTCAACCTCCCAGTAACAGCGTCCACTCACACTCTCCTCGCACAGAACCTGCCACCAGTGGTTAAATCTCTCTGGGTGATCAGGATATAGCTGGGAAATCCCTCTGTTTGTCACCACTTCGTTCTTCTTTGACAGAATGAGGAGACAATTTGCTGTGTTGGGATCCAGAGTCATCTGACGGAAATCTAAACACAAAGATGAGTTTAAAAGACAAAACAGATATAAAACAATGACAATGACCAGAAAATAAAAATTCCATAGAACAGCTCAGAAAAGTTAATGAAAACCAAGCAAGGCGTTTGAATAATTTGTCTGAACCAGTATTAACAGTTATTGTTATCCTGTTTAAGATCTGAACAGGTGCTAATACTGAGAGAAGGTGGAGCGCCGAGAACACACTACTGAGAACACTTTCATAAATTATGTGTGTTTCTGTGTGTGTGTGTGTGTGTGTTTCTGTATGTGTGTGTGTGTGTGTGTGTTACATACACTGTAGAAAGTCTTCTCTGGTTTTTGGTTCTGAGAGTAAGATCTGAACTGCTGCAGCTGTGGAGACACAATACAAGAATGAGCAGTTACAACACAAAGACTTTAGAAGTTTAGAACAAGATTACAGAAAAACTCTTATGTGAATGCAATTTAAGTCTGCATATATAAACTGGAAATAAAAAATATCTAGTGATGAGCTCCAGTTCACAACACATGCCATCATTGACTATAACTAAACAAAATAATTTTTATATTAATTCTGTTACGACCCGCAGTCATAGTAACTTTTCTGAGTCTGTCACTGGCCATTTTATGTGTTTTTCCCTCTTGTTGCATGAAGTGCAGGTTCATGATTGGCCACATGGAGAGCCCTCCTGAATATAAGAGGTCACCAAACCACTACCTGGGAGGCGTTCAGGGCTCTATCCTCTCTGACATGACCTAGAAGTACACCTGTCCAGACCACCTAGCCAGCTAGCTGTACTATACATGTCTGATACCGTTTATTACATGACATGTACAGTGTATGTGCTTTAAAAAGACCAATCCTGTGAGAGATCGGGGGCAGAAGGGCACAGGAAGTTTTTCACATATTAATGGATGTTGCTGCTTTGTGCTTTAGTTCATCTTTTGCGCTATATTTACCGACAAGTCAAACTACTGAAACTACTCTTCCCAATGAGCAGTCTGAACCTAGAGGGGCCCAATGAAAAAATCTGGGGTGGGGGGTGGTCGCCATAGGCCCCCCTTTTCCACAGGCCACAGTGCGACTGCCCACCCTGCCCCCCCCTGTAGTTATGTCAGTGAGCTATGTATGTTTTTCAACAATAGTCCCACAACCCCCCACCCTAAATGCACATTTATCTTGTGTAATTTGGAAAATTGAGTAGAACATGAGTCACAAAGACTGCTCAATTGGCTAGAGCTGGAGGACGAATGGTGACTAAAATGATGTCTGCATTTAGGAAAGACATCAGTAAACAGGGTTGTTTGAAAGTGCACATTCAATTAGCACGAATTAGTGCAACATGTAAGGAAAACAAGAGCTGCTGATCTTCACGTCAGTGACAATGTTAATGCAGAAAGTGATAAGACTGTCACCAAGAACAGTCCATCCACAACTATATAGAGAGGGATAATATAGTAGGGTTGCACAGCATAAAGCCCTGATTACATAGACAAATTAACATTTAAGATGTCAGTACAGTTCCAGACCAGAGACTTGTAGGATCCAAGTCAAGGCATAATGAAGCTGTTCTGACAACTTGTGATTTTTAACAAGACAGTTTTCTAAAGATAATGTATTTTTTTTCTATCATTATTTAATATGTCACTTGTCTGTAACTTAATTTAGACATATTCAGATAGAATCAAATAGAAACAATTTGACGTCACAACTCACAAACATGGAGAGCACAATAATATTACATTCCCTGTAAAACCCCTTTGTTTCTATGTAGCTTAACTGATATTACCGAATGCATGTCAAACTCAGCAGAGTTACAGGTGAAGCCCTACATTGTGGAGTGCTATTCAGTATGACACTCTTCTCACTCTTCCCACTTCAGCCGATATTTCCAACATTGAATTTCACACAAGCCTTCATCCCAGATGAGGCAGACAGTTGTTCATTTAATCACATGTAAATGTTACATCATGACTGCCCCCCCTCTTTCCGAATTTGACCTGCTAAATCTGTCATTACTCAGCTTTCAGTATTTCAGAACCAAAACTGATTTCACAGCAGGAAAAACTCTCTTACCATGTGGAGAGATTCTGTTGAGTGTCTCTTTACAGAATTCCTCCAGTTGCTTCTTCAGATCATGCAGAGATTTGCTCACTTTATCAAATGAAAGTTGGTGATTGACAGTGATGGTGGTGGATTCCTCAGGCCCAGAAGAAACGAGAAAAGGCTGGACACTCTACACAATTAGAAATGCAAAAAGAGTACATAGATGCATATCGGCGCTCTTAGAACAAAACATTTTGAACATAATTTGAGAAAGCCGCTGTCCTTCATATTATGTCAAAATTTTATGATGAATGACCCAATAGAAATCGTCCGAAATGACTTAGAATAAAATCCCGTGACATTAAATTCTTTTTAAAAATGTGCTTCTGCTGTAAAGTTGCTTTTTTAGAGAGATAAAAGATTCTGAGAGCAACAACATGCAACAAATAAAACTAACTCACTTTAGTGGACTTTTCTTAACACGTGGCTATTTTTTTCTTCATGGTGTATGAAATATCTTTATTATTGCCTGAGGCAGCGTTTCTCATGTTCTGTCAGGTTCCTCTGTATATCAGACAGTGTTTGTTACCTGGAGGAAGTGGATGTGATCCTCTGTGTGTGAAAGCTGCTCCAGCTCAGTGTCTCTCCTCTTTAGATCAGCGATCTCCTGCTCCAGCTGTTCAATGAGCTCTTCAGCTCCACTCAGTTCAGTCTTCTCTTGAGCTCTGATCAGCTCTGTTACCTCAGAGCGCTTTTTCTCAATGGAGCAGATCAGCTCAGTAAAGATCCTCTCACTGTCCTCCACTGCTGTCTGTGCAGAGCTCTGTTAGGACACAGACCAGATGAAAGTCCTTTTGAAGATCAACTATCATTAACTTTTACTGTAATCCATGGATGACTGATTGTCCACTTTATGGCTGTGTAGGATCTCAAAGTGTCTTAAGAGTGGTCTCGTTACTTTAGGAGGGTCTGACTGAGGTGTGAAGTAGCTGCTCCAGCAGATCTCTGCTCACTACTCACCTTAATAGTGTTCACAGCCTGTTTCAGCTCCTGCAGCTTCTTCTCTTTCTCCTGGATTCTCTGCTGAGATTTCCCCTGAATTCTCTTTAACTGACTCTGTGTTCACATAAGACACCATCATACCATTAAACCAAGAGACCAGAAGGTGAGAATATACAGCTGAATGAGCTGCACACCGCTTTTCAATGTACTTCCTTTGGGCTTAAAAGATGTTCCCACTAAGCTGGAGAGTTGGAAGCTGGGTGATTGAAAAGATCAGCTCAATAAACCTCTTTTGAATATTAGTATCTAGTTCACAGCTGAGTTACAGATGCAGTTCAGTGCAAACAACAGAGCAGCCAACTGTACTTTTGGTCACCAAAATGGGAGGACTATGTATGACCACTGCTGTAAAATCCCACAAAGTTCACTCATACATCCCCTCAAAACAGCCAACACAGCTGACACTCTGCACTTTAACTGGGTAGAACCTGTTTCATTTCAAACTCGTTGTGCTGAATTACACAACCAACACAACACAAACTGCTCCATTAGTTTATTACAGACTGCTCTGTGAGTAGTTATGCTCATTTATAACAGCTGTGCTCTTCTATATTCAAAACACTGCAGTTAAAATCTTATTTAACATCTTAGTTAATATTTTTTACAAATATGTAATCAAGAATTTCTAAAAGAACTGACCTGTCTCTCGGTTCTTTCTGCTGCAGCTGAGACTGAATCATGACCTTTGTGTTGATCCAATACGCACAAATAACAGATGCATGTTTGGTCAGTACGACAGTAGATCTCGATCAGTTTGTCGTGCTGAGAGCAGATCTTCTCTCGTAGTCGTGTGGAAGCTTTGACCAGCTTGTGGTTTTTCCAGGAAGGAACTTCATAGTGAGGTTTAAGATGAGTTTCACAAAAGGAGGCCAAACACATCAGACAGGACTTGATGGCTTTGAGTTTCCTCCCAGTGCAGAAATCACACTCCACATCTCCAGGTCCAGCGTAACAGTGAGCAGGAGAAGCAGCTCGGAGTTCTGTCTTCTTCAGTTTCTCCACCACTTCAGCCAGCATGTTGTTTCTGCGTAGAACAGGCCTCGGAGTGAAAGTCTCTCTGCACTGGGGGCAGCTGTAGACCCCCCTCTGATCATCCTGATCCCAGTGTCCATTAATACACACCTTACAGTAACTGTGTCCACAGGGAATAGCCACTGGATCCTTCAGCAGATCCAGACAGACTGGACAGCTGAACTGGTCCTGATCTACTGAAATACTGGCCATTTTCCTGCACTCACAGACTGAGAGAGAGCAGCTCTCTGAGATCAGTTTCGCTTCCTCTGAACTGAGTAGGAGTGGCTTCATGATTCTGCAGTTCAGAGAGCAGAGAGAGGGCGGAGCCAAACATGCTTTCACACTGAAGGAGAACAGTGAAGCTGTATAACAGAGACAGTTTTATTGATACAGTCAGAAACAGATAAACTGGGTGGTAGTTTGTGGCTGTTTACAACATTTACAACAATCACAATCTTACCTTTATTGTCAGGTGAAGCTCAGTGTTTCTGTCCTTGTACTAGAATCACTCTACTCTGCAGTTTTGTTTTCTCTGCTCTAAGACTTCAATAACAACCGTTCATTATCTGTCAAACCTTTACACATCAGCTCTGTATGGATCACCACTTGACGTTACTGTGATTTTTCATTTTTACTTTAAAAAAGCTTTAAATGTGCACAAACTGCTTTAGGTAAAAGTATCTGCTTATAACTCACTATAATTGTTGTTGTTACACTTAATCACTAGCAGAGAGACTAAAGGCCTTCAAATGGCCTCTAAAGGACAAAACTGGACCAGCAATGCAGTTAAAGTTTATTACTGTTGTCTGAATACAGTCAGATACCCACAGAGATACATCTGCATTCTACACACATACAGTAAATACAGACACAGTAAGTTTATAAAGAAATTTTAGTGTGATGTAGAAAAAAATCTAGTAACACATTACATTTAAGGTACATGATCTAACAGCAATTTAAGACATTTTCTAATGAATAATTAATCAAACAATAATGAGTAATTAATCAGGAACTGAAGAGTAAGTCATACATTAACAACGTTGAGATTAAATTACTCAGCATTCACTATCGCATGTACTAATAAATGAAGATGAAGGTAATAAAGGCTTTTTTCAACATCTGAATTTATCAGGAATTCATGTGTTAATTACTGTACAATAAGCTAATTAATACACTTTGGCCACCACAAGAAACTCCACTGGTTTCATTCTGTTCATGCAGTTGTTTATACTCTTACCTGTCATACTGCAGCGTCATACTGTTACCTGAGTAGCTTATGTGGCAACTTAACTGTCATGTGTTTATATTTTATTTACTGAAAACAGATATTTTATATAATTAAAAACTGTGAATTGACTTAATATATACCACTGTTATTGTAAGTAATAACTACCCAACTTAGATAAATAAAAATGCATTCCCATTATGCATCTGTTATTCATTTCAAAAAGTTCTTATACTTATTTATACTTACATATTTTCAAACTTTTGAACTGCTTATATATATATATATATATATATATAGTATATATATATATATATATATATATAGATCAGATGTTCATTTTGGATTGCATGTTACAGTAGATCCAACATAAGGAAGCCAGAATCCAGCATAGAGAGGCTGAGTGAAGGTGGTGTGGACTGTGTGTAGGAGGGTTATTGTGTCAGAGATGCTGTAGAAGGACAGAGTTCCTGCACTGTGATCCACATACACTCCTATTCTGGAGGAGGACGGGGCTGAGATCTTAGTCTGAATGTTGTTGTGATAGAAGGAGAGAGTAGAACCACAGCGAAGACTCCAGGACTGACTGTTGTGTCCAAAGTTACTGTCATTACCTGACTCTTTCCTGCTGATTCCTTTATATGAGACTGAAATGTACACACATCCCCAACTACTGCTCCACTCAACCTCCCAGTAACACCGTCCACTCACACTCTCCTCACACAGCACCTGACCGCACAGGGTAAATCTCTCTGGATGGTCAGAGTATGGCTGGACACTCTTACTACTCCTGACCACTCTGTTCTCCTCAGACAGAATGAGGTGAGGATGTGCTGTGTTGGGATCCAGAGTTAGCTGACAGAAATCTAAAAAAGAAGATGAGTTCAGCTCATACTGAATGTTTTTACAATTTTTTTACAAAAATGTTTACAAAAAAGTGTACAGTTCATATACTTATTTTTCAACTCAATAATTTTCCAAAATACTAAGCGTTAAATAAATACACAGAGAAAAAAATAAAAATGATAAATATAATCACAATGACCAGACCAAAAAAAAAACCCACCACTTTACATAAGGGGCCACAAATTAAGTTATAGTTATATGAAATCAAGCAATTACTCATTATTTTATATATTAATTAACCACTAACTAAGCATTAGATACTGATTACATACTCATTGATTAGTTATTGCGTACACTGTACACTAATACTTTAGTTTGTCATCAGTTCACAGACTATATACTCATTAACTGTGTATTAACTTGTGCTTAATAAACTGCTAGCAAACTGATAAGTGTATTTACCCATATAAATAAGGTACACAAGAAATAACTAGTGGGTAACACTTTACATCAAGGGTCGCTAATCAATCATTAATTATATAATAATCAACTATTAATTAACTATTAATTTCCCATTATTTAGTTATTAGTTAACTCTTCATTAAGCATTAGCTATTACTTAGTAATTGATTAAGCACTTATCAGTTAGTAATTAAGTACACTGTTAGTTGATAAGTTAGTTTGTCATTAGTTTGTGGCTTATTTACTCGTTATCTGTGTACTAACTGCTGCTTATTACATTGTTAATTAACTAATAAGTATTTTCTTCATGTAAAGAAGTAACGTGATAACTTACTAGCACTTATGTGTTAATCCCGCTAATTATCTGTTAATTAACTTTCCATCACCTCCATATATTCAGTTGCTTCACTTTTCTCACTTTGGTTCTTGTTCATTAAAGATGCTTATGGTCACATCTGACCGTAAGATGAGCGCACACAAATTCATGGACGGTTTTGTTATTCATTACTTTCATCTTGGCATATCTGTACAAACTAACTCATATCTGGTAGGAGTGCATGTAAATTTGGGCATAAATGCTGGATATGTGGCTAATTAACCAAAACTATTATCAACATAATCTGTAATAGCAAAAATAAAAACAACAGTAGAAAATTTCAATAACACTAATTTGTGTGCATGACGGTCCAGTACAAAAATGGATGTACTTACTTTACATGCACATTGATATAAACAAGTGCTGCAACTATTTCATGTTCCATTTAAAGACACATTACACTGTGCTTTTGTTGTCATACACTGCAATAATACAGCGTTTATTTTAGGGAACTAATTACACTAAACCATCACTCTACTATGTTAACAACACTGAGTATTTTTGTTTTTTTTCACATTTTATTTTTTTCCAGTTGTTGTCAGTTTAATACTATTAAGTTTGGTCAGCAGGGGAGGAGTGCACTCACTGCTGGACATCAAACTCCACCCACGAGCACGGCCATTAGCTTTCATGCCAAACACTGCCGTTTTATTGGCTGGCTACTGAAACATCTGCATAAATTAGTGTGTGCTTCATGTAAATGATATGTAAATGAGGTGCTGGTCGGCTGGTTTCATGCACTGAAGCTGATTTATCATTTATGCTCAAATCTCCACTTGTTTCCACATCGTACAAAATTGTTATGAATCAGACGCAGAGCAGTTCATACCTTACAAAAGGCAAAAAAAGTGTTCTTTTTACGCGACTTTGATGATTAATGGGCCCTTTTCACAAGATTCGTGATTACTTCTGGTTTAAGCATTAGCAGGGTAAAACTCACTTCCTCTCCATATAGCTACTGCAGACGCGATGTCACAATGTTTAGTAGTGAACTATAACGCTCAAACACGGAGCTACAACAGCTGTATTTTAGTTTTCCTGCACGGCTGTGACAGTGAGAGTGAGAAGGGGACGGAGGCGCTGATTTAACTGTAAACAAAGCTGAGATGCTGTGTGTTGTTTTTACTGCAGTTCTGCTGCAGCTGCTTCACATCAAGCAGTCTCTGTGTCTTTGTACAACAGGCCAGCGATTCGGTAATCTTCTGTTTTCAAAAGAAAGAAGAACTTTTATATGCAGCATGAATTTTATAGACTCTGTTTATATTAAGCTAGATATACTGGCTGGAAGCTACTGCTAACCAAACTAGATTGCCTGGCTAACATAAAGCAGCTTTTTCAAAACGTCACAGCAGAACCGCGATGCTAACATACAAGTTAGGTTAGCTAGGAGTCGTGTTTTTGACTGAGCAGTGAAAGGTGGCTGTTTTCTGAAGTGCTGCTTCAAAAATTACCATGAGGCTATAAGAATGATGCTGTTTGGCTGATCGCTAACATAGCTAACCAGCTAGCTTTAAAGTTTGCTACTCATATGAAGCTGGTGCTCCTCAAACTGCTAATGGTAGGCTAGCTAATTAGCGACTGTAGCCTGCTAGCCTACCGTAAGCTAATACAGTGTAAACGATGTCTATCCAATAGACTTTACATATGAAAGTTTTTGTTTGCGTTTATGTCAGAAGTCGCTGCCATCATATAGCTAAATGTGTCACAGAACCTGCTCCACATTAGCCGGCTGGTGGCAGCAGCTAATGAAAGCTAACTAGCTTCCTTATTTTGGGAATACAGCTACAGTTAGAAATGGCTTCTAGCGTTGCTAGCTAGCTACAGCTAAACCAAATTCATACTACATAGAAGAACTTTTATTTCTTTTGAAAACAGAAATATTACAGAAATCGCTGGCATGTTGTTCAACTACAGAGACACTGCTTGATGTAAGCAGCAGCAGTAAGCAGGGCTCCACCACACACAGCATTTTAGCTGTGTTTACAGTTAAATCAGTGCTTCCATTCACTTCCTTTTGTCATGATAGTGCACAAAAACTAACATATGTCTGTTGTAGCTCAGTATTATAGTTATAGAGCATTATAGTTCACTGCTAATGCTTAATCCGGACGTAATCGGGACTCTTTGTGAAAAGGGCCCATGGCCATTAGATCTTTACATTTTGACCATTAATTACTTCTTAAATTCGTCTTACTTAACCATTAATTACTGCTTTTGTGTTCTTCCAAGTAAAGTGACAACACAAAAGCAGTAATTAATGGTTAAGTAAGAGGAATTTAAGAAGCAATGAATGGTTGATTAAGAGGAATTTAAGAAGTAATTAATGGTCAAAATGTAAAGATCTAATGGCCATTAATCATCAAAGTCGCGTAAAAAGAACACTTTTTTTGCCTTTTGTAAGGTATGAACTGCTCTGCGTCTGATTCATAACAATTTTGTACGATGTGGAAACAAGTGGAGATTTGAGCATAAATGATAAATCAGCTTCAGTGCATGAAACCAGCCGACCAGCACCTCATTTACATATCATTTACATGAAGCACACACTAATTTATGCAGATGTTTCAGTAGCCAGCCAATAAAACGGCAGTGTTTGGCATGAAAGCTAATGGCCGTGCTCGTGGGTGGAGTTTGATGTCCAGCAGTGAGTGCACTCCTCCCCAGCTGACCAAACTTAATAGTATTAAACTGACAACAACTGGAAAAAAATAAAATGTGAAAAAAAACAAAAATACTCAGTGTTGTTAACATAGTAGAGTGATGGTTTAGTGTAATTAGTTCCCTAAAATAAACGCTGTATTATTGCAGTGTATGACAACAAAAGCACAGTGTAATGTGTCTTTAAATGGAACATGAAATAGTTGCAGCACTTGTTTATATCAATGTGCATGTAAAGTAAGTACATCCATTTTTGTACTGGACCGTCATGCACACAAATTAGTGTTATTGAAATTTTCTACTGTTGTTTTTATTTTTGCTATTACAGATTATGTTGATAATAGTTTTGGTTAATTAGCCACATATCCAGCATTTATGCCCAAATTTACATGCACTCCTACCAGATATGAGTTAGTTTGTACAGATATGCCAAGATGAAAGTAATGAATAACAAAACCGTCCATGAATTTGTGTGCGCTCATCTTACGGTCAGATGTGACCATAAGCATCTTTAATGAACAAGAACCAAAGTGAGAAAAGTGAAGCAACTGAATATATGGAGGTGATGGAAAGTTAATTAACAGATAATTAGCTTAACACATAAGTGCTAGTAAGTTATCACGTTACTTCTTTATATGAAGAAAAATACTTATTAGTTAATTAACAATGTAATAAGCAGCAGTTAGTACACAGATAACAGTGTACTTAATTACTAATTGATAAGTGCTTAATCAATTACTAAGTAATAGCTAATGCTTAATGAAGAGTTAACTAATAACTAAATAATGGGAAATTAATAGTTGATTATTATATAATTAATGATTGATTAGCGACCCTTAATGTAAAGTGTTACCAACTAGTGCTTATGTGTCAATCCAATAATTATCTGTTAATTAACCTACTAATTAATTCTTTATGACTTGATTTCTGCTTTGTGTCCCTCCCAGTAACATGATCATTTTACTACTAATTTACTACAAACTCATGATTTGACTAGTTATTGTGTATGTATATATAGGAAAACACAATACACAATTATCATTTATTCTAAATGATGCTACACAATAAGCAGAACAATTCAGGTTTTTTTTATTAAGCTAAAACAAGTCGTTCATACTCACACATGACAGGTTGTTTAGGGATTCAAGATTGGGAGTCGTGTCATTTTGGCACTTTTAAATTTGAGATATTAAGATAATAGTGTGACAGATATTGTCAGTATTTGCATGTTTTATTCTGTTTCTTATAAAGGCAACTGTCTACATACATCTTTGAATAAGCAGCCTGTGTTTTAGGCCTAACCTGTATGTCTACTTCAGTTTCTTCTGTGACTGACTGTGAGCGTGCACAGGCTGCTTATAATCGTGAATTCATGTTAAAATCAGTAAGTTGGTAAGGAAGATTATCACTTCACTTGGAAGGACACATAAAATAGTAATTAACGGTGAAAAGTTAAAGAGAGCTCTGAGCATAGAGAAGCAGCTGAATATGTGGAGAAGAAGGAAAATGTCCACTAAAGCACTCAATTACTAAGTACTTAATCAGGAACTAATACTTCATGCACAGTTAGTTAACATTTAAAGAATGAGTAAGTTATTACTTAGTAGCACAAAATGATCAGTTAATTTGCAACCCTTATGTAAAGCGTTAAATACTGGTTGTTACTGAAGCTTGTCATATTTACAGTCCGAACAGGGTGTGTGTGTGTGTGTGAGTGTGTGTGTGTGTGTGTGTGTGTGTGTGTGGTGTGTGTGTGTGTGTTACATACACTGTAGAAAGTCTTCTCTGGTTTGTGGTTCTGACAGTAAGATCTGAACTGCTGCAGCTGTGGAGACACAATACAATAAAGAATGAGCAGCTACAACACAAAGACTCTGTTTAGAACAAGATTACAGGAGGAATATTGTCATTTTCATGCTCAATAAGAGCAGATTAGGGACCAATTATTGATGTATTAAATTTACTGTGGACTCTGGATAAATATCAACAGTTTTGTTCTCTGAAAAGAAAAATTGAAAAAATACAAATTGTGACCAATTTCTGTGTGTGTGTGTGTGTGTGTGTGAGTGTGTGTGTGAGCGTGTGTGTGTGTGTGTGTATGTGAATGTATGTGTGTATTGGTGTGTGTGTGTGTGTGTGTGTGTATGTGTATATGTGTGTGTGTGTGTATTTGTGTATTTGTGTGTGTATATTTGTGTGTGTATATTTGTGTGTGTGTGTATATGTGTATATGTGTGTGTGTGTGTGTGTATATATGTTTTGATGGGACAGGAAAAAAAACTGATCCGTCTCACCTTCCGCAAAAAATTCTGTGTATTTCAGAATGTGTTAAAGCTAAAGCACTAAACTGTGGAGTGCTGTGTCCTCCAGATTTGCAGCATAACACTCCACACACCCCACTTCACCCTGCTGACCAAACAGAGACATCCAACATCATATTTCACAGCAGGACAGCTCCTCTTACCATGTGGAGAGATTCTGTTGAGTGTCTCTTCACAGAATTCCTCCAGTTTCTTCTTCAGATCAGAGAGAGATTTGCTCACTTTATCAAATGAGAGATGTTGACTGATGAAGATGTTGGGAGAGTCTTCAGATCCAGAAGAGACACAAAGAGACTGGAGACTCTACATAAAAAGAAATAAAGAAAAACATACACAACATTAATGCTACAGGCTTAATTTGACAATACACATTTTAGTGAAAAATTATAGTTTTGAATACAGTTTTTATTCATGGTATATACAGAATCTTCATTACTGCCTTAAAGGAGTAACTACATTACACTTTTATGAGAAATAGGTTCCTCCGTACTTCAGACAGTGGTTGTTACCTGGAGGAAATGGATGTGATCCTCTGTGTGTGAAAGCTGCTCCAGCTCAGTGTCTCTCCTCTTTAGATCAGCAATCTCCTGCTCCAGCTGTTCAATGAGCTCTTCAGCTCCACTCAGTTCAGTCTTCTCCTGAGCTCTGATCAGCTCTGTTACCTCAGAGCGCTTTTTCTCAATGGAGCAGATCAGCTCAGTAAAGATCCTCTCACTGTCCTCCACTGCTGTCTGTGCAGAGCTCTGTTAGACACACACAGACCAGATGGAGGTCCACTTAAAAATCAACTACCATTAACTTTTACTGTAATCCGTGGATGACTTATTGTCCACTTTTTGGCTGTGTAGGATCTCAAAGTGTTTTAATAGTGGTCTCAGTACTGTAGGAGAGTCTGAGTGAGGTGTGAAGTAGCTGCTCCAGCAGATCTCTGCTCACTTACTCACCTTAATAGTGTTCACAGCCTGTTTCAGCTCCTGCAGCTTCTTCTCTTTCTCCTGGATTCTCTTCTGGGATTCACTCTGCATCTCCTTTAACTGACGCTGTGTAGAAATAACATACATGACAATCACAATGCAGGTCAGTGGAAGCAAATGAGCAGTCCAGTTACTTCTGATCACCTAATCTGGGAGAGTGTGTTTGAAACCAGCTGTATATTCAAAACATTTTATCCAATATGTTCATATCAGATTCAATGTGCTGAATTACACTGTTTCCAATATACCACTGTTTTAATTACAGACTGCACTGTGACTAATCTTGCTCATTTGAACCTGAATTTTTTCTAACAAATCAAAATATAACATGTAGAAAAAATGAAATAATGCAGAAATATATTAAAGTTCTACTTCTGACCTGTCTCTCAGTTCTCTCTGCTGCAGCTGAGACTGAATCATGACCTTTGTGTTGATCCAACATGCACAAATAACAGATGCATGTTTGGTCAGTACGACAGTAGATCTCGATCAGTTTGTCGTGCTGAGAGCAGATCTTCTCTCGTAGTCGTGTGGAAGCTTTGACCAGCTTGTGGTTTTTCCAGGAAGCAACTTCATAGTGAGGTTTAAGATGAGTTTCACAAAAGGAGGCCAAACACATCAGACAGGACTTGATGGCTTTGAGTTTCCTCCCAGTGCAGAAATCACACTCCACATCTCCAGGTCCAGCGTAACAGTGAGCAGGAGAAGCAGCTCGGAGTTCTGTCTTCTTCAGTTTCTCCACCACTTCAGCTATAACATTGTTTCTGCGTAGAACAGGCCTCGGAGTGAAAGTCTCTCTGCACTGGGGGCAGCTGTAGACCCCCCTCTGATCATCCTGATCCCAGCAGCCATTAATACACACCATACAGTAACTGTGTCCACAGTGAATAGTTACTGGATCCTTCAGCAGATCCAGACAGACTGGACAGCTGAACTGGTCCTGATCTACTGAAATACTGGCCATTTTCCTGCCCTCACAGACTGAGGGAGGAGTGGCTTCATGATTCTGCAGTTCAGAGAGCAGAGAGAGAGGGCGGAGCCAAACAGGCTGTTACACTGAAGGAGAACAGTTGAGCTGTGTGATCGTGAGAAAAAAGAAAGAGTTTTATTGGTACAGAAATAAGCTGGGTTATTATTTGTGGCTGTTTACAGCATTTCTTGATTTTCCTCTTTGCAGAAAAACACTCTGTAATCTTATCTTCCTGTAACGGCCCAGACTGGGGTTGGGCTGTCTGCTTGGCCACTTCGGCCACCAGAGGGAGGCACAGAGCCACTGCACCATGATTAGGGGCAATCAGTGGCACCTGTTCCTCCTCTATTTAAGGGAAGCCAGCTCTCACCTCTGTGCTCAGTCTTGGGTTCTTTTTTCAGAGAGTGATACAAGTCTAAGCTGGTAATTTGGTAAAGCCCCTCACATTTTCTCCTGGGTCTCCCTTCCCTCTCACTTTTCTTGACTGTGCCAGACTGAACCCCTTAAGTCCTCCTCTCAGGGTTTCTCTGGCTGTTCTTCCCTGGCTTTTTCTTTGGGGGGGTTTTAAAAAAATACTACTCAGAGAAAGTGCTGAGCTCCTCCTCTTCTCCCACTCAGCCACTTGGTGTGCTCCATTTCCAGGTTTTCTTTTCTTTCCCGCCTTTCCTTTGTTTGGGAAACTCATTTTGACTTTTGTTTTCCTTTTGCTCTCAGCTCTTGCATTTGAAACATTCACTATAATCCCCCAGATGTCATAGCATCACTGACAACACCACTATACTAAATATTCCAGAGTCAAATACTGTTAGCATCATAGTAAAAAAAAATATACAACATAATTTCTTTGTTCATTAACTGTTGAGTGTATTACAGAGGTGATTTCCATGTTCAGGCCCACAGGAATCTGCAGTGCACCGTTTAGTGTTTCCTGCACCTCAATCACATCATTAGCTAATGATCAGGTCCTTCTAGAGCCGAATCAGGTGTGACAGAGCAGGAATGAACTAAACTGTGCAGTGCAGGTGGACTACAGGACCTTAGTGGGAACACTGATCTGAGTTCTAGCTGTAAGACTGCGCTTGATTACAATGAGGTGAGCTGTAAAACATTTTGGAAAGAATTTCAAAGTGGTGTGGCAATTGAAAATATTTTTAATGCCAGGGAGTAAAGATTCATTATTCCCATTCTGCTATGCATTTGATTTACAGAATTATTTCAATATACAGGGAGATTCTCTTGAAAGAGGCCCCGAATATTCTGTTGAAACTCCCATTAGGATCAAGCAATCTGAACCAAAAAATAGGCTAGATACCTTGACATATGTGTAATCGATTGCATTACATGCGATGCTGGAAGTGATCTCTGTTTTCTGCCAGACACATGAAGGGGTACGGGGTTATGCACCTGGAAGCTGCAAACAGAGGTTAAACATGGCGGCGACTGTCTGGCGCCCACCTCATCGCTCCGACGCTGGGGCATCCCAGCTTGTTCGAAGCTCCATATACTGAGGAGCAAATTGCACATTATTTCGTTGAGATCTCATCATCCTAGCAAGAGTTATTATAGAATATTTGGGGCCTCTTTCAAGTGAATCTCCCTGTAATTACATAATCAATAATAGTAGTTACCTGGTTACATTTTATGTCCATTAAATTTTCCACAGGTTTGAGTCTGCAATTCTGTTCCAGTACTTTTCTTGATGCCAAAAAATCCTAAAACAAACTAAAAGATGATGTTTCTTTCCAAAAAATTAGACTATGTGTGCAACCATTTTCATCAAATTCAAATCATGATAACAAATAGAAATGTGGTATCAATCTGAAGTTTAACAGAATTTCTTGTTTTACTGAACTACAAAAGGAGTAACAAAAAAATGTAAGAACAGGCATTTCACTGATGTTTATGTTGAATTGCATAAAGTCACGCTGCATACAGACGGCAGATAGAATCCAGCATAGAGAGGCTGAGTGAAGGTGGTGTGGACTGTGTGTAGGAGGGTCATTGTGTCAGAGACACTGTAGAAGGACAGAGTTCCTGCACTGTGATCCACATACACTCCTATTCTGGAGGAGGACGGGGCTGAGAGCTTAGTCTCAGTGTTGTTGTGCCAGAAAGACACAGAAGAATAACACTGCAGACTCCAGGACTGACTGTTGTGTCCAAACTTACTATTATTACCTGATCCTTTCCTGCTGATCCCTTTATATGAGACTGATATGTACATACATCCCAAACTGTTCCACTCAACCTCCCAGTAACAGCGTCCACTCACACTCTCCTTACACAGAACCTGCCACCAGTAATCAAATCTCTCTGGATGGTCAGAGTACGGCTGGACACTCTTACTGTATCTCACCACTCTGTTCTCATCAGACAGAATGAAGTGAGGATTTGCTGTGTTGAGATCCAAAGTCATCTGACGGAAATCTGGAGAGGAGGAGTTTAGTTTATACGGATAGATTATTCTTACCTAACTGTGTTTGTGTACTTTCCTAGAGATTCAAATAAATCAATAAAGAATGAGCAGGAGGGGGGGGGTAAGAGGGACATAGTTAGGAAAACAAATTAACCAAAGGCTCAACTAAACAGGTCAGTTTTTAGCATAGACTTAAAGATGGAGGCTGTGTCTGAGTCCCGAACACAGACTGGTAGGCTATTCCAAAGCTGGGGGGCTTTGTATGAAAAGGCTCCTCCCCCTGACGTAACTTTATTTATTCTGGGTACTAATAATGAGCAGCACCTTGTGATCTAAGTGGGCGTGTCGGTTGATAATAGGAAATAAGGTCACTGAGGTACTGAGGAGCAAGGCCATTCAGAGCTTTATACGTCAATAGAAGAATTTTGTACTTAATGCGGAATTTAACTGGCAACCAATGTAAGGTACCCAAATTGGGCTAATGTGGTCAAATTTCCTGGTTTTGCTGAGAACTCTGGCTGCAGCGTTCTGGACTAACTGAAGCTTGTTAAGGTTTTGGCTGGAGCAACCAGAAAGGAGAGCGTTACAGTAATCTAACCTGGACGTGATGAAGGCGTGAACTAATGTTTCTGCATCCTGTAGCGACAGTGCATTTCTTAATTTAGCGATGTTACGCAGGTGGAGGAAAGCTGTTCTGGTAATATTGGTAATACGCTCATCGAAGGCCAGATCGGGATCAATCGTGACACCAAGGCTCTTTACAGATGTGCCTGGTGCAATTGAGAAACTATCGAGATTAAGAATAAACGTAGGCAGATTATCCCTAGCAGCTTTTGGACCAAGAACAAAGAACTTCTGTTTTGTCCGAATTTAGTAAGAGGAAAAACCTTCACATTTCTGTGTATCTTGACAGATAATACAGAGCTTGTGTCAAACTCTACAGACTTAACTAAGCTAAAACACTGAACTGTGGAGTGCTGTGTCCCACAGATATGTAGTATAACAACTTATAAAACAGATAGTTCCGGTCCTAAAATCTGACTGGCTGAGTCGCGTTCAAAGCCGTTGTAAAATCAAGATATACCCACACCTATGACCACTTCACAACAACTGAACTGTGTATTACTCCACCACAGCATGAAAAAACCTTGTGCTGTTAATGGAATAATCTAGGCTGGTCAGCTAGCTAACAGGCTAAAAGAGCCAACAGCCTAAACAACTCCATCATTAATATCACAGGCTTGAATTAAGGTGCTTACGTTATGATTCACTGTAAAACAGCATTATAAAAGTGTAAATATGTCACTTGAATGGATCATGCACTTCAGATGTTCGTGTTTCAGCCAGAAGTAGCGTCAAACCCAGGCTGAATCCCAAACGGCTCCATATTCCCTAAATAGTGTGCTAGCTATAAAAGTTTAGAAATTCTGGCCTCTACAGCCAAATAGTGCATCATTCATGAAGTATGGATGTGTCTCAAATGACTATTGATCCAGTATTTAAATTTCTACGTAGTGCACTGTGTAGGGAGCAGGGAGCCATTTGAGATTTAGCCCCAGCATGAGAAGAGGGGCGCAGCTGGATTGGTGCTAAATAAGATTTTTTGGTAACCAAAAAGTACTTATAAAGCAAAAGTTTTTGCATTAAACAGTTCTGTGTTATCACAAGTTCATTGTTATATGACAAAAAGTTAAAAAATCCTGAAATTACCTCAATATACAGCGATATCATTCAGTACATGGTTGCGTGGCAACGATACCGTACTCCAAAGGAACTATTTCTGGACGGAATACTTATGTCTATTATTATTAATGACAACTTCAATTATTGTCTGAAAAATGTGTATTTTATCATATATTATGTTGGCCACCAGTTTTAAAAGCAATAAGCCACTTTAGGCCATGTGTTACTGTGATTTTATCACAGTGAAGGGAGTTTAAGGCATAATAATAAACACCCTTCCTGTGATAAAATCGCAGTAACACACGGCCTCAAATGGCTAATTGCTTTAATGCACCCCACTTCACCCTGATGCTGACCAAAGAAAGATTCCCAAAATCATATTTCACAGCAGGACAGCTCCTCTTACCATGTGGAGAGATTCTGTTGAGTGTCTCTTCACAGAATTCCTCCAGTTTCTTCTTCAGATCAGATAGAGATTTGCTCACTTTATCAAATGAGAGATGTTGACTGATAGTGATTTTGGGTGAGTCTTCAGATCCAGAAGAGACACAAAGAGACTGGAGACTCTATAAAAACAGAAATAAAGAAAAAAGTACAGAAGATTCATGCTACAGGCTAAATTAAACTGCGATTGTATCACAGTGAAGGGAGTTTAAACACAGTTATTAAAGCTTTTAAGATGAACTGATTCCTCTGTTTATCAGTATATTTCTCCAGGTGGTTGTTACCTGCAGGAAATGGATGTGATCCTCTGTGAGTGAAAGCTGCTCCAGCTCAGTGTCTCTCCTCTTTAGATCAGCAATCTCCTGCTCCAGCTGTTCAATCAGCTCTTCAGCTCCACTCAGTTCAGTCTTCTCCTGAGCTCTGATCAGCTCTGTTACCTCAGAGCGCTTTTTCTCAATGGAGCAGATCAGCTCAGTAAAGATCCTCTCACTGTCCTCCACTGCTGTCTGTGCAGAGCTCTGTTAGGACACACACAGACCAGATGGAGGTCCATTTAAAGCTCAACCATCATTCACTCTCCTACTGAGCCTCTAGATCACTTTGTGAGTTCAGACCGTGGCTTCAACATGTGGTGGTAGTATGACCGAAGACTGATTGAGGGAGGTGGGAGAGCTCTGAGAACTTGGGCTGTAGTTCTGGGCAGCTTCTGCCTGTAGCTATAAGGCTGAACCCACCCCCTCATAGCTATAGCAGGACTGATGTAGGACTGAGGAACATGGTTGAGGAGGAGATGGGGTGGCGGTGGCGATTGTGAACCTGTCATCACGTAACGGAAGATAAGGATGTGAATTTACAGGGCGCTAGATTGGAAGAAGAAGGGGTTTCAGGAATGTTCCTCCCCTCAAACTTCAGTTATAATACTAATGTTCAGTTATAACTACATTTATCGTCCACACTGAGGCTGTTTAGGATTCCAGAGTGTCCCACTGAGGTCTCCTCACTGTCTGACTGGAGGAGAGTTTGACAGGTGTGAAGTAGCTGCTCCAGCAGATCTCTGCTCATTACTCACCTTAATAGTGTTCACGGCCTGTTTCAGCTCCTGCAGCTTCTTCTCTTTCTCCTGGATCCTCTGCTGGGATTCACTCTGCATCGCCCTTTACTGACGCTGTGAACAAATACAGTTTATTGAGGTGAATTTTGATCCTGAGTGTTTTGTAATGATGATATGAGCTCTATAAAGCTAAAAGAATGCAGGAAGGTGGGTATTGGCTGGTTTAAAGTTCACGGACAGATTTGACTAGTTTTTATTCTGACAGTCAGTACAAACAAAATTTCTGTATTACTTCCTTACTGACGGAACAGTTAAAGTCACAGTGTAAACCATCCAACTCATTAACAAAACAAATCCAGTTTTAGACGTATAATTACCATGAATTAATTTTGAAAGATTATATTTCTCACCTGTCTCTCAGTTCTCTCTGCTGCAGCTGAGACTAAATCGTGGCCTTTGTGTTGATCCAACATGCACAAATAACAGATGCATGTTTGGTCAGTACGACAGTAGATCTCGATCAGTTTGTCGTGCTGAGAGCAGATCTTCTCTCGTAGTCATGTGGAAGCTTTGACCAGCTTGTGGTTTTTCCAGGAAGGAACTTCATAGTGAGGTTTAAAATGAGTTTCACAAAAGGAGGCCAAACACATCAGACAGGACTTGATGGCTTTGAGTTTCCTCCCAGTGCAGAAATCACACTCCACATCTCCAGGTCCAGCGTAACAGTGAGCAGGAGAAGCAGCTCGGAGTTCTGTCTTCTTCAGTTTCTCCACCACTTCAGCCAGCATGTTGTTTCTGCGTAGAACAGGCCTCGGAGTGAAAGTCTCTCTGCACTTGGGGCAGCTGTAGACCCCCCTCTGATCATCTTGATCCCAGCAGCCATTAATACACACCATACAGAAACTGTGTCCACAGTGAATAGTTACTGGATCCTTCAGCAGATCCAGACAGACTGGACAGCTGAACTGGTCCTGATCTACTGAAATACTGGCCATTTTCCTGCACTCACAGACTGAGAGAGAGCAGCTTTCTGAGATCAGTTCTGTTTCCTCTGAACTGAGTAGGAGTGGCTTCATGATTCTGCAGTTCAGAGAGCAGAGAGAGAGGGCGGAGCCAAACAGGCTGTTACATCACTGAAGGAGAGGAGTCAAGCTGTATTACAGAGAGAGAGAGTTTTATTGGTACAGTGTGAACCAATTAAACTGGGTTATAGTGGCTGTTTACAACATTTCTTGCTATTCCTTTTTTCAGGAAAATATTGTTTTATCTCATCTTTCATGCACAAATGACAGCTGAAGACTGCCAGGGTCCCAGTCTTTCTCTCCTTGCACTGGAATCTCCCTAAACTGTAAAACATCTTCATATCAGCTCTGTCTGTATCACCACAGTAAGATACTGTGATTGTGAAAAGCTGTAAAAATGTGCACAAACTGCTTTAAGTAAAAGTATCTGCTCACTCACTGTAATTGTTGTTACACTTAATCACTAGAAGAGAGACTAAAGGCCGTTTAAATGATCTCTGAAGGACAACACTGGACCAGCACTGAAGTCAAAGTTTATTACTGTATATGTACAGTTATACATCATCATTCTACACACATATAGTAAATGCAGACACAGTAGCATTTTGGAAGTTTACTGAAGAAAGGAATGAATCAATATACTAAATATACAAACCATGTTAGTGTCATGTAATAAAAAATATATTATACAATATTTACCTAAAACATTATTTGAGTGTTACTGAACCTCTCTGTTATTTTCAGTGGATCACACAGGCTCAGCAATGTAGATACAAAAGCAGTTCTGCAGTGATTTCCAGGTTCAGTCCTACAGGAACCCAATTTAGTGTTTCCTGCACCTGAGTCACATCATTAGCTAATGATCAAGTCCTTCTAGAGCTGAATCAGGTGTGATAGATCAGCTGGACTACATGAACTTAGTGGGAAACACTGATCTAGAAGATGAACTTTGAGCTCCAGCTGGAAGACTGCAGTGGATTCAGCAGTGTGGAGTTCTTCTTCATTTATTCTTGCTTAATTGTTTTTCATCTGTTATTCATTCTTTATGGAATATGGGCTTACAGTTGGGGCTCTCACTGCACTAAACTGCACAGTGAGGAGTTCCTCTAGGACTGGACATGGAAAACAACAGAAGTTGTTCCTCCATAGTGGTCTGCGACTGTGTCAATAGTAACGTGTAGCTTAGCGTTAAATTCATTAATAAAATCAACACAGATTGAATGAGGACTATGTGAGAGTGTTTGTAAAGGTGTGCATAAAGTTGCAAACAACGTCAGAAATAAGATGTCGCTTCTGCACAACCCTCTCTTGGACATGAGGGGGCGAATCACATGCATGGAAAAGAAGACTGGGAAGTGGTCAGAAAAGGCAACTTCAGACATGGCCGATATGTTAACTGGATTTAAAAATCAGGTCCAATGTGTGTCCCTGCTTATGGGTTGGCTCATTTACATTCTGGGAAAGACCAAAAGAGTTTAAAAGATCCACAAATTTAATGGCTTTAAGGTCTGTTGGATTTGTACATTAAAATCACTGAGAATGAAATTTAACCTGACAGGAGTTTGGATAAATCAGCCATAAAACTGGGGCAAGCTTTGGGTGGCCTAGAGACTGCATGATGTTGACAAATAAGCTGTTTGCTTTGCCTTGTAGAGCATGCAAAGAAATAGCGTGGTGGGCCAGCTTCAATCAAAACTGTGGGACCATCATCACCATTAAGCCAGTTCTCATTTAAAAACATACAATCAGTAATAAGATCATTAATGGTAAAGGACTTGTTTTATCACAGGTGTTAATTTCAGACTGCATAGTGTCACAGTGCATCCAGAAAGCCAGAATCCAGCATAGAGAGGCTGAGTGAAGGTGGTGTGGACTGTGTGTAGGAGGGTCATTGTGTCAGAGACGCTGTAGAAGGACAGAGTTCCTGCACTGTGATCCACATACACTCCTATTCTGGAGGAGGACGGGGCTGAGATCTCAGTCTGAACGTCATTGTGATAAAAAGAAAGAGAGGAAGAACACAGCAGACTCCAGGACTGACTGTTGTAGCCAAAACAGCACTCTTTACCTGCACCTTTCCTGCTGATCCCTTTATACGAGACTGAGATGTACACATTTCCCATCCTGCTCCACTCAACCTCCCAGTAACAGCGTCCACTCACACTCTCCTCACACAGCACCTGCCACCTGGGGTCAAATCTCTCTGGATGGTAGTGGTAGGACTGGACGTTCTGACTGTGTGTGACCACTCTGTTCTCCTCAGAGAGAATGAGGTGAGGATTTGCAGTGTTGGGATCCAGAGTCATCTGACGGAAATCTACAGAAGAAAGAGTTGTTGTTGATGGAATAACTAAAAGGCCGGTTTGTATCATTTTAGAGATTTTTGTATGCAGTATTTTTCTGCATTGTTTGTTTAATATCACAACATTACGACAGAAAATTCATGACACACACAAGCAAGCCATTGCAGTGATTTGACTGAAACAGTAGACATTATCAAGTAGCAATCAATAATTGTGTGTGTGTGTGTGTGTGTGTGTGTGTGTGTGTGTGTGTGTGTGTTACATACACTGTAGAAAATCCACTCTGGTTTGTGGTTCTGACAGTAAGATCTGAACTGCTGCAGCTGTGGAGACACAACACAATAAAGAATGAGCAGCTACAACACAAAGACTCTGTTTAGAGCAAGATTAGAGGAACACTATAATAATTAACGCAGTGTAAAACTGTCTGCAATGTTAGTGTACAGTGTGTGTTTTTTCTCTGAAACACTTCTTATTAATGCACTCCAGCACAGATCAGCCTTTACCTGAACTACTCTTATGCAGTGCTATATTTAATACACATATGTGATTATCCAGCAGTTCTGCTAAGATATGACTGCTACATTCTAATGGAAGCAATCTAACAAATCAAACCACTAACGCAGGCTTGTCAACCTGAGGACCTTCCGGGCCAAAGTGCTGCGGAGATCAGCGTTTACCCTCATCTAACACTCTGAATTCAATTCATGAGGTCCTTGCTAATGAGCGGATGAGCTGTATTAGGTGTGTTTAATGAGGCAGTGTGGTGAAGTCTGTAGTGTTTTGGCCCGCGAGGACAGGAGCCTGACACATGTGCACTAACGTGTGCTCTGTCCATGAGAGCATAATAATGTTACGCTTCTCGAAAACTTTACATTTCTATGTACCTCAACAGATATTAGAGAATCAACAGACTAAACTAAACTAAAACATTAAACAGTGGAGTGTTTGTCCTCCAGATATAAAGTATAATACCACATACACGGCACTTCACCCTGTTGCAGACCAAACAGGGGCTTCCATCATCATATTTCACAGCAGGGCTTCATTTCTGGCAGAAAAAGTCGGATCCAGCACCTCGCAGACTGGATCTGACACTTATTTGGATCTGACAAAGATGTGGCAAGTCAAATTCTTTATATTATATATATATATATATATATATATATATATATACACACACTATATTGCTAAAAGTATTCGCTCGTCTGCCTTCACAACCGTATAAACTTGAGTGAAATCCCATTCTTAATCCATAGGGTTTAATATGATGTCGGCCCACCCTTTGCAGCTATAACAGCTTCAGCTCTTCTGGGAAGGCTTTCCCAAGGTTTAGGAGTGTGTTTATGGGACTTTTTGACCATTCTTCCAGAAGCGCATTTGTGAGGTCAGACACTGATGTTGGACGAGAAGGCCTGGCTCACAGTCTCCACTCTAATTCATTCCAAAGGTGTTCTGTCGGGTTGAGGTCAGGACTCTGTGCAGGCCAGTCAAGTTCTTCCACACCAAACTCGCTCATCCATGTCTTTATGGACCTTGCTTTGTGCACTGGTGCACAGTCATGTTGAAACAGGAAGGGGCCGTCCCCAAACTGTTCCCACAAATTTGGGGGCATGAAATTGTCCAAAATCTCTTGGTCTGCTGAAGCATTAAGAGTTCCTTTCACTGGAACTAAGGGGCCGAGCCCAGCTCCTGAAAAACAACCCCACACCATAATCCCCCCTCCACCAAACTTTACACTTGGCACAATGCAGTCAGACAAGTTCTCCTGGCAACTGCCAAACCCAGACTCATCCTTTGGATTGCCAGACGGAGAAGCGTGATTCGTCACTCCAGAGAACACGTCTCCACTGCTCTAGAGTCCAGTGGCGGCGCTTTACACCACTCTATTCGACGCTTTGCATTGTGCTTGGTGATGTAAGGCTTGGATGCAGCTGCTCGGCCATGGAAACCCATTCCATGAAGCTCTCTATGCTGTTCTTGAGCTAATCTGAAGGCCACATGAAGTTTGGAGGTCTGTAGCGATTGAAATTGGTGACCTCTGCGCACTATGTGCCTCAGCATCCGCTGACCCCACTCTGTCATTTTACGTTGATGTCATTTCCAATCGCTTCCACTTTGTTATAATACTGACAGTTGACTGTGGAATGTTTAGTAGTGAAGTGATTGGAACACCTGAATCCAAATGATTTGGATGGGTGAGTGAATACTTTTGGGAATATAGTGTATATACATAATGAATTTGACTTGCCACATCTGTCATAATTTTGCCACTAGTATCTCAAAATCTCACTATTTACAAATTAAGCACTGATTTCCAGCAAGACTCTTACCGTGTGAAGAGATTGTGCTTAAGTTCTCTTCACAGAATTCCTGTAGTTGCTTCTTCAGATCAGACAGAGATTTGCTCACTTTATCAAATGAGAGATGTTGACTGATAGTGATGTTGGGAGAGTCTTCAGATCCAGAAGAAACACAAAGAGACTTGAGACTCTACACAAATAGGAATAAAGAAAGAATGTATAAAAAAAACAGATAAAACTAATAAAATGTACTTCTATGATATGAGGATAGCAGGATTTCTTTTTTATTTATGGCGTGTTCAGTATCTTCATTACAGCCTAAAGCAGTTTTCTCTTTCACACCTGATGCAGCTCATAAAGATCATGAAAACCAGCTGATGATCTGGATCAGGTGTGTTGACGCAGAAAAGAGCTGAAACTGTGAGTTATGAATAACTGGTATCAAAAAATACAACTATAAGAGACATATATACAGATAAAAGAGACACAGATCTCTGAGTATTTCAGACAGTGTTTGTTACCTGGAGGAAATGGATGTGATCCTCTGTGTGTGAAAGCTGCTCCAGCTCAGTGTCTCTCCTCTTTAGATCAGCAATCTCCTGCTCCAGCTGTTCAATCAGCTCTTCAGCTCCACTCAGTTCAGTCTTCTCCTGAGCTCTGATCAGCTCTGTTACCTCAGAGCGCTTTTTCTCAATGGAGCAGATCAGCTCAGTAAAGATCCTCTCACTGTCCTCCACTGCTGTCTGAGCAGAGCTCTGTTAGACACACACAGACCAGATGGAGGTAAAGTACAACTGTCATTCGCTCTCTTCATGTCTCTAGATCAGTGGTTCTCAAGCCAGACCGATGGGACCCCCAGACTGCTTATTCGCTCTTGTGTTATTGTTTTGCTATCCAGCATCGACCAGAGGAGGATGGGTTCCCCTTATTGAGTCTTGGTTCCTCTCAAGGTTTCCTCCTCTTGTTCTTAGGAAGTTTTTCCTTGCCACTGTCACCACTGGCGATCTGGAAGTCCCCAGGGATTGTTTGAGAACTGCTGCTCTAGATGACTTATTGTCCACATTGCTACTGTGTAGACTTTCAAAGTGTCTTTAGAGTGGCCTCCTCACTGTCTGACTGAGGTGTGAAGTAGCTGCTCCAGCAGATCTCTGCTCACTACTCACCTTAATAGTGTTCACAGCCTGTTTCAGCTCCTGCAGCTTTTTCTGGTTCTCCTGGATTCTCTGCTGGGATTTCGTCTGCATCTCCTTTAGGTGCCTCTGTGTGTCAATAACACACATTATGCAATTAAGCAAAGAAACAAGAAGATAAAAATAAACAGTAGAATAAGGTGAACATTGCCTTACATATGAAATGTTGGGCTCAGAATGGAAATTAAAATTCAATACTGTGGTTTTAAGCTGCCATTTGGTACCTTATTATTGTTATGTTTAATATGATTATGCAATAAAGGTGTCAGAATGTAAATTAAAACATAATTTAACTTATATGCATTTGCACTCTAATAAAGTATTTGAAATTGCATTATCAAAGAGAAATCAAAGCTAGAAAGATGGCAAAATTCTACTGTAAAAAGGGAAACCACGCCTCTCCTTGTTGCAGTTGGATGGTATCATCTTTTGCACTCATTCTCTGGCAAAATGGTTTTGAAAATGTATTTGACCTGATTACATTTTTATTTTCATAGACCTCCACCTGTGAATCATCCAATCAGGTTGGAACCAACAACACGCTCAGCGGAAAAGGCTTCATCTAAAACATGGCGGCCAAAGAGTTTTGTAGCTATTCTTACATTAGCAGATGAAGAGAAGCAAAGCAATGTATCTACGTCTATGTCTTCTGCATATCTTTATACATGATCTGATGCGTAAGTGTTTAATTAAACATGTGGCTGAGTTTTCTCTTGGTGTTGGAGGCTTTTGTGTAATTATCTGTTAAATATATGTTTCCTGCTTTTTTCTGACACTGAAAAATGAATGATTTTTACTAAATAGCCATTTTGACTGGACAGTAAGGAAATGAAAAGGTAGTCTCTGACTTTTGCACAGTCCATGTCACCCAATACGGACATTTCTAACGTTATTTAAAAATAATAATGTAATTAAGAAAATTGGATAGAATTTGATAGAATTAAAGCTTCTGACCTGTCTCTCAGCTCTCTCTGCTGCAGCTGAGACTGAATCGTGGCCTTTGTGTTGATCCAACATGCACAAATAGCAGATGCATGTTTGGTCAGTACGACAGTAGATCTCAATCAGTTTGTCGTGCTGAGAGCAGATCTTCTCTCGTAGTCGTGTGGAAGCTTTGACCAGCTTGTGGTTTTTCCAGGAAGGAACTTCATAGTGAGTTTTAAGATGAGTTTCACAAAAGGAGGCCAAACACATCAGACAGGACTTGATGGCTTTGAGTTTCCTCCCAGTGCAGAAATCACACTCCACATCTCCAGGTCCAGCGTAACAGTGAGCAGGAGAAGCAGCTCGGAGTTCTGTCTTCTTCAGTTTCTCCACCACTTCAGCCAGCATGTTGTTTCTGTGTAGAACAGGCCTCGGAGTGAAAGTCTCTCTGCACTGGGGGCAGCTGTAGACCCCCCTCTGATCATCCTGATCCCAGTGTCCATTAATACACACCATACAGTAACTGTGTCCACAGTGAATAGTTACTGGATCCTTCAGCAGATCCAGACAGACTGGACAGCTGAACTGGTCCTGATCTACTGAAATACTGGCCATTTTCCTGCACTCACAGACTGAGAGAGAGCAGCTCTCTGAGATCAGTTTCACTTCCTCTGAACTGAGTAGGAGTGGCTTCATGATTCTGCAGTTCAGAGAGCAGAGAGGGGGGGGGCGGAGCCAAACAGGCTGTTACACTGAAGGATAACAGTCAAGCTGTATGATAGTGAGAAAAAGAGAGAGTTTTATTGATACAATCAGATAAAAACTAGGTTATTATTTGTGGCTGTTTACAACATTTCTTGATTTTCTTTTTTGCAAAAAAAAATACTCTGCCATCTGTGGCTGGGCTGCCTGTTAGGCCACTTCCGACCACCAGAGGGAGGCACAAGCCACTCCAACGTGATTAGGAGAAAACGGCAGCACCTGATCCTCTATTTAAGGGAAGCCAGGCCTCACCTCTATGCTCAGTCTTAGGTTCTCTGTTTTTTAGAGTGTGCTACAAGTCTAAGCTGGTAATTATCTCGAGTCCCTTTCTGGGGTTTCCAAAACATACTTCTTAGAGAAACTGTTCTCCCACTCAAGCACTTTGTCTCCTTCATGCCAGAGTTTATCACTTGGCATCTTTGTTTTCTTTCATGTCTTTTTTCTGTCTTTCATTTGTTTGCTTACATGGAAGATCCCCCAGTTGTCATACCCCCACTAGTCAACAGCACCACACAGTTGTGTTTACTTTTTTCGTGTTGACTTTCATTTGTGAACAACTTTGCACTTGAGAACCTTTACCCACATTTCCTCCGTTGGTAGCTCTCTCAGTTTATTCTGGTCCCCTATAACAAGGATTCTAGGTTTGATTCCACCTCTGGGTCAACTACTCGGGCACAAAGTCACATCAACAGCTAATGATCAAATCCTTCTAGAGCTGAATCAGGTGTGATACAGCAGGAATAATCTAAACTGACACCAGTCTGTACCTGGATCTTAACTGGATTAGATTTTGGTTAAGTTTAGGGTTAGGATTAGGGCCAGGGTGAGGGTTAGGATTAGGTTTAGTGTTGAGGTTAAGGTTAGGGTTAGGATTGGGACCAGGGTGAAGGTTAGGATTAGGTTTAGAGTGGAAGTTAATGTTAGTTTTAGGATTAGGGCAGGGTTAGACTTGGGGTATAGTTGGGTTTTGTGTAATTTAAATAACATATTAGGTCTATTTCATGAAACATATACACAAAACTTTTACTTAATGTAAGTAATGTATCAACAGTACAGTATCAATAATCTTCAAGATATTTACCTCAATGTGTTCAGATGCTTCACTGCTGCTACTTCACTGATATGTTACTGATGTGTTACTGATATTTCGTTAGGAGTTTATTAATCATCTAAAAAGACCACTCAAAATAAAGTGTTACCAGATAATTTTACTAGATTTTACAAGATGCCATTTTGTGCAGTGAGGGCAGTGATGACAGCAGTGGTTCTCAGTGTCGGTCCTGAGTGACACCTGATCTACACAGTTCAATAGCTTTACTACTTTAACATGTCTAGTTCATCATCTGATCATCATCAGCTTCACGACCTTCACTTTATAACTGAATCTGCATCAAAAAGACTTTAAAGGCATCTTCTGAGAGGATTCTGGTAGGTTAAGGATGAGCTAGGTCCAATAGAGCAGCTCATGTTCTCTGTGTTCACTGTGAATGATTGTACTGGATTAAAGAGCTTTAATGAAGTTTAAAGCTGCCACTGTATTCTGAAGCATGAGTGGCACTGACAGTGGGGTGAGCTAAAACCCTTTTAAAACACTGTCAAAAGAGTGATGTGACGATATGAAACTGTATGAACCCTGATAATTTATTCATTCATTTGCAATCCATTTGATTTACATTACAAAATTATGTGCATGTATATAAAATTATATTAATTGCATAATGAATCACATATATATGTGATTCAAAATATGATTTTCTGAACTTTATTATGTCTTTTATCATCAAATAGTAACCAAACTATGTCAAAAATGTAAAGCCTGCTTTTCTTTCCATAAAATAACACAAACCTCACAGTAACTTTTCATTTAAATGCTTTAGATATTCGAATCTGAACTTTTTTCTGTGAACTACAAGCGAGAATCACACAAAATGTAAGAACATGTGTGTCAACGTGTATCTACACCAATAGGGACCTCAGTTCCATTATTAAAATATAACTGAAATTCATTTTGAATTGCATAAAGTCACAGTAGAGTCATACGATCGCAGCCTGAATCCAGCATAGAGAGGCTGAGTGAAGGTGGTGTGGACTGTGTGTAGGAGAGTCATTGTGTCAGAGACGCTGTAGAAGGACAGAGTTCCTGCACTGTGATCCACATACACTCCTATTCTGGAGGAGGACGGGGCTGAGATCTTAGTCTCAATGTTGTTGTGCCGGAAAGAGAGAGAGTAAGAACACTGAAGACTCCAGGACTGACTGTTGTGTCCAAACACACATTCAATACCTGATCCTTTCCTGCTGATCCCTTTATATGAGACTGATATGTACACATTTCCCAGACTGCTCCACTCAACCTCCCAGTAACAGCGTCCGCTCACACTCTCCTCACACAGAACCTGATAAAAGTGCATAAATCTCTCTGGATGATCAGAGTACGGCTGGACATTCTGACTGCATCTGACCACTCTGTTCTCCTCAGACAGAATGAGGTTCTGATGTGCCGTGTTGGGATCCAGAGTCAACTGACAGAAATCTGCAGAAGAAGCAGAGGAAGTTATTATTAATGGAATTTACTTTAGCTTTTAAAACCAGAACAGGTCAGTTTCTATAGTTTTAGAGATTATTTTGCGCAAAAAATCAATAAACAGATTCACAATGACCAGAAACTAAGAGTAATACAGAATATCTAAGTGACGTTATTATCCAATACAAGACTTTGCAGTGATTTGACTGCAACAGTAGATAGTGTGTGTGTGTATGTGTGTGTGTGTGTGTGTGTGTGTGTGTGTGTGTGTCAGTGTGTGTGTGTGTGTTTTACATACATTGTAAAAAATCTTCTCTGGTTTTTGGTTCTGAGAATAAAATCTGACCTGCTGCAGCTGTGGAGACACAATACGATAAAAAAGCGCAATTAGAACATGTTTGCTGAGATTTGCATCGACTGATTTACTGTCATATTAAGACCAAATCATGCTGTAACACCTTTGCTCATTCATAAACAAGGATTATGACTCACTGCTGCCAAAATAACACCTGAACCACTCTGGCTGTAATGTTGGAACACAGCAATGTGGATTAAATGATGTATTCTGTAATGTTTCTAAATGTCAGTCATACGTGCAATTAATCAACAAATCATGCATGTTCTTCTGCTCCCTTTTGGACAGAGCATCATGGAAACTTTCTAACAGCTTGTTTGAGCAGGATTTCAGATTTAACTGGCACCAAACGTAAAACAGCCTCTTCTTCCTGCAACAAATTCCATGGTTCGTGAATCCCTCCTGTGTGTGGAAAGTAGGTTTAACTTGGAATCCAAACAAGTGTGGAGTAATTTGGTGTGTTAAGATTCTATCTACATATTCAAATTAGTTTTGTTACAAGCAGTTTTAGCTTTTAATCCTATTTGTCAATTTTCAGTGGATTGTTATGTGTAATATAAAAATGACAAAGTGAAAACTGAATTTTTAGTAGTTGAAATTTAATATTGGCCAAATCGAGTTACTGACGCCAAAAAGTAAATATTTTAAACATTTTCATGTGTAAATTGAAAAGGAATTCAGCATGTAATCTTATTTATTTAATTACAATTGAAAATATCACATATTAAACTTTAATTCATGTTAGTACAATTGTTTCTGCAATAATAATGAACTGGAGAAACTCTTCAATTCTTACAAATGAGAAATTAAATCTTAATGCTAAACTATAATTCCCACAATGCAAAGTTGAATATTTAGGATGTTCTAATTTGATAATTTCTAGTACAAACTAGGGCTGGGCAATATGACAATGTACACTAACATGCCAGAAGTCATGGGATAGCAGTATGTAGATTGATTATGATGTGGCTTGGGAACAGCCACATGTGTATAAGTTGTGAGGTGTTATCTTGTGAGTGAGGCTGAACACTGGCTAGTATGCTCATGGCAAGGTGTGTGTACTGGGTGCTTGACGATTGTGACTGGTAGTGTTTGGCTAGAATTGTCCGGACGAGCAGACAAGCAATTCTGGCAGAAATCACATCCACATTCAATGCAGGAGGCCCCACATGCATATCCCACAGGTGTGTGCAGAGTTCTTTAGCTTCCATGGGATGTGGGAGCAGATTGCCTCTGTTAACACCACGACACTGAACACAGTTCCTCACCTGGGCTTGTGAGGTTGCTAACTGGACCCTAGAGGACTTTCACCATGTGCCAAGGTCCGATTAGTCACGGTACCAATTGTTTCGGACTGATGGTAGGGTTTGTGTGTGGCGTAGACCCCTTGAAGCCATGGACTCAGTTGTCAACAAAGCACTGTGCAGGCTGGTGGTGGTTCCATACTGGTGTGCGGTGTGTTCTCATGGCCACTGCACCTACAAATTCCGCTGAGCTGTGGGTGGCTATCCAGACGGCATGTCTCAACATCCCTCCAGACATCTTCCATCCACTTGTGGAATTGATGCCACATCAAGTTGCTGCACTTCGCTGGGCTAGAAAGGGTCCTACACGATACTAGTTCCTGTCCCGTGACTTTTGGCATGTCAGTATATGTCATTATAGTGACAAATTATGTCACAATACGATACAATATGCTTTTCTAAACATATTTCTAAACACATTGTTCTGTACCTGTAGAACACTGACCGTTGACCAAATTTAGGCTTGTTTAACGTATTTAGTGCAACATAGTATGTCAAATATTAAATAAAAATCATTATGTTCACATTTTTATAGTATTATGTAAAATGTGGCCATACTAGTTTTTTTTTTCTCAGTTCCAACTGATCAGATGTCTGAAAAAATAAATATCGTGATTTATCATGTATTGTGAAATTATATTTTTGCCACCTGATCAACATTTTCTGATAAAGGAACTTTGTTTCTTAATTAAAAGTTAAACACATCCTTACTGA